AGAGAGAGAGAGAGAGAAACATTTATGTGAGAGAGAAACGTCGATTGGTTGCCTCCCGTACACGCCCTAACCAGGGATCAAACCCTCAACCCTCAATCTAGGTATGTGCCCTGACTGGGAATCGAACCCTTAACTTTTTGGTGTATGGAACAACACTCCAACCAAGTGAGCCACTGTCCAGGGCCTGAGTCGTATTCTTATCCATTCAGTTACCTTATGTCTTTTCATTGGAGCATTTAGTACATTTACATTTAAGGTTATTATTGATAGGGGTATATAGCCATTTTATTCTTTATATCTATGTTCCTCTCGCTCTGTGTTTCTTTTTTTCTTTTTCTTAAAGTAGGCCCTTTAACATTTCTTTCAATACTGGTTTGGTGATAATGAATTCCTTTAGTTTTTTGGGGTTCTTTTGTGTGTGTGTGTGTTTTAACAGTGGTAAACTGACTCATACTCGCATGTTCTCTCCTTTGTTTGTCACCTGAGAGACATGTGACTGATCATTTAGGTATCAGCATAAAAAGCATTGTCAGGTTGAGAAGCAAATTGTTCGAGATGGGAGACATTTGAGAATCTAGGTTTGACTGCATCATTTTTTCTTGTTTTTGTTTTTTATCCTCACCTGAGGATATTTTTTTATTGATTTTAGAGAGAGAAAGAGAGAGAGAGAGAGAGAAACATTTATGTGAGAGAGAAACATCGATTGGTTGACTCCCGTACACGCCCTAACCAGGGATCAAACCCTCAACCCTCAATCTAGGTATGTGCCCTGACTGGGAATCGAACCCTTAACTTTTTGGTGTATGGAACAACACTCCAACCAAGTGAGCCACTGTCCAGGGCCTGAGTCGTATTCTTATCCATTCAGTTACCTTATGTCTTTTCTTTGGAGCATTTAATACATTTACATTTAAGGTTATTATTGATAGGTTTATATAGCCATTTTATTCTTTATATCTATGTTCCTTTCGCTCTGTGTTTCTTTTTTTCTTTTTCTTAAAGTAGGCCCTTTAACATTTCTTTCAATACTGGTTTGGTGGTAATGAATTCCTTTAGTTTTTTGGGGGTTTTTTTGTGTGTGTGTTTTTTTGTCTGTGAAGCTCTTTATTTTGCCTTCAGTTTTAAATGACAGACTTGCTGGATAGAGTAGTCTTGGTTGTAGGTCCTGGCTTTTCACCATTTTTAATGTTTCATGCCAGTCCCTCTGCCTGGAGTGTTTTTATTGAGAAATCAGCTGAAAGTTATGGAAACACCTTTGTAGGTACTAATTGCTTTATTCTTTTGGCTTTTAAGATTCACTCTTTGTCTTTAATCTTTGGTATTTTAATTATGATATGTCTTGGTGTGGCCCTCTTTGGGTTCATCTTGATTGGGACTCTCTATACTTCCTATACTTGTATGACTTTTTCCTTCACCATTTAGGGAAGTTTTCAGTCATTATTTCTTAAAACTGGTTCTCTATCCCTTGCTCACTCTCTTCTTCTTCTGGGACCTCCTATGATATGGATGTTGTTATCTTGTCATTGTCCCAGAGGTCCCTTAGGCTTTCCTCACTTTTTTAAATTCTTTTTTTCTAATCCTCACCTTAGGATATTTTTTCCTAAGGTGATTTTCAGAGAGAATAGAAAGAAGGGGAGGATAGGAGAGAGTTAGGGGAGAGAGAAACATCAATTTGAGAGAGACACATCGATTGGTTGCTTCCCTCACGCGCCCCAACCGCCTGGAATCAAACCTACAACCCAGGTATGTGCCCTTGACAGGAATCGAACCTGTGACCCTTCATTGTACAGGCTGACATTCTAACCACCAAGCAATGCCAGCCAGGGCCTTTTTTCTTTTTGATGCTCTGCTTGGGTACTTACTGGTATCTTGTCCTCTAAATTGCTGATTCGCTCCTCTGTTTCATCTAACCTGCCATTTATTCCTTCTAGTGTATTCTTCATTTAATCTTTGGTATTTTAATTATGATATGTCTTGGTGTGGCCCTCTTTGGGTTCATCTTGATTGGGACTCTCTATACTTCCTATACTTGTATGACTTTTTCCTTCACCATTTAGGGAAGTTTTCAGTCATTATTTCTTAAAACTGGTTCTCTATCCCTTGCTCACTCTCTTCTTCTTCTGGGACCTCCTATGATATGGATGTTGTTATCTTGTCATTGTCCCAGAGGTCCCTTAGGCTTTCCTCACTTTTTAAAATTCTTTTTTTCTAATCCTCACCTTAGGATATTTTCTCCTAAGGTGATTTTCAGAGAGAATAGAAAGAAGGGGAGGATAGGAGAGAGTTGGGGGAGAGAGAAACATCAATTTGAGACAGACACATCGATTGGTTGCTTCCCTCACGTGCCCCAACCAGGGCCTGGAATCAAACCTACAACCCAGGTATGTGCCCTTGACAGGAATCAAACCTGTGACCCTTCGTTGTACAGGCTGACATTCTAACCACTGAGCAATGCCAGCCAGGGCCTTTTTTCTTTTTGATGCTCTGCTTGGGTACTTACTGGTATCTTGTCCTCTAAATTGCTGATTCGCTCCTCTGTTTCATCTAACCTGCCATTTATTCCTTCTAGTGTATTCTTCATTTCTGACTAGTTATTTTTTATGGTTTCTATGTCCTTTTTAATTCTTACAATTTCTTTAAGTTCTCACTGAGATCATCCATTCTTCTCCTAAGGTCCCTGAATATTCCTATAACCATTGTTCTAAACTCTTCATCTGGTATTTTGATTGCTTCCGTTTCATTTGATACATTTTCTGGGGTTTCTCTTGCTCTTTCTTTTGAGGCACATTTCTTTGTCTCCCCATTTTGTCTCTCTGTATTAGATAGATCTGCTATGACTCCCAAAATTGTTATGATGGCTTTATGATAACGGTATCTTGATGGGAAATTGGCCCCAATTCAATCAAACCACTTAGTCTCTGCTAGAGTCTCCAATTCTAGTTCGTTGGACAGGCTCACTACAGGCTCAGGTTGGGTGCAGCCAGCCAGCCCCTCTGCAGGAGCAAGCTCAGCCTGGCAGAGTCACCAAGCTCAGGGGGACAGATCAAGAGTCTCTTGTTTTGTGTGATGCTGGTCCAGCCCACAGAAGGGGGGCAAGCACTTTGTCCTAGTCCCAAACAATAGCCTCCCAGACACTCACATTCTGAATGTCCCAGCTCTCACTCCCCCCTGCAGGGCACGTTATCTGGAATTTGCAAGAGCAGATTCAAACAGTCTCCCTTTGGGGGTGGTGCCTGCAAACCTGTAGGAGGGGATTGGTCACTTCTTCCCCCTCCTGGGGTAGCATGGGGTGATCTCACAGGGGAGATGGAAGTGGTCCCCCTGCAATGTGGCCACACAACCCCGCACCCACCCATCTGTTTCCTAGACAAAGTTTCTGCAGGAGATGTGCACCAAAAGTCCCAGCTCTGCATAGCACTCTGGCTTCCCTTTGCAGCTGAACTCAACAGGGTGGGGCCAGCCAAGTGATTCATCAGGTTGTCAGGGTGGGTGCTGGCTCTGCACACCAGGCCGGGGAGACCGGTCCCCTTTTTAAAGCCACAGTTTTAGTCACTGAGTCTCTGCCAAGAGCCTGCCAAGAAAATGAGGGCTCCAAAGATCACTGCTGGGTGCAGCGAGCAGATCCCTCCGCAGGACCGAGCATGGCAGAGTGCGCTCCCCAGGCTGGTGCTGTAACCATGGGAGTGCTCATCCCTGGGGAGGTGCATGGGGAGCTGTAGCAGACTCTCTTCTTTCCCAGACGACTAAGTCCCCACTGAGCTTCACCCCCAGGTGCTATGCAGGCTCCTCCTCTTGTCCCTGTTGCTCCAAGTGGTGAGAGAGTTTTGCAGTTGAGATACCCTCCAGCCTCTCAGCCCCTCACCTGGGGTTTCCTCATTTTTTTAAATTCTTTTTTTCTAATCCTCACCTTAGGACATTTTTTCCTAAGGTGATTTTCAGAGAGAATAGAAAGGAGGGGAGGATAGGAGAGAGTTAGGGGAGAGAGAAACATCAATTTGAGAGAGACACATCGCTTGGTTGCTTCCCTCACGTGCCCTGTCTGCAGCCCTCTGACCAATTTCTATGTGGCTTCTGCAAACCCTTGGTTATGGTAGTTCCATAACATTCAGCTAACATTCAGCTAACATTCAGCTGGTGATTCAGGTTGATTGCTCTATAATTTAACTGTAAATTCGGTTTGAGTCTGGGAGCAGGGGTGAGTGTAGCTTCCACTACTCTGCAGCCATTTTGGAATGCTGGTTTTTTGTTTTGTTTTTTTAACAAAGAGAACAGGGTCCCAGAGATTTCATTGGCAACAGCATCCTATTTTGTTTTTATTACATTGATTACATATTTTTATAGTTGGATTCTATTTATGGTAAGTGATACTGGCTTTCTGTTTACAGTTGTGATATAAAGTTTCTTTAAGTGAATTTATGTACGTAAGCAATTTATAAACAAGACCAGAAATTATGAAAATGTTACCTGCATGAATGAAGTTTGAATAATACTCCATTATTGTATCTTTTGTGAGCCTTCCAAATTGACTTTTCTATGCTTACTTATTTCTGCATTTGAAGTCAAAGACAAGGGACATGAAGTAGGGAGAATAATTTGTACCATAGGAGAAGCCAAGAACTAGTGTACAATCTACCTGGACGCAAGCAGTTCTCCAGACACATTAGTCTTAGATCTCGCATTTTGAATGCTAGACTTTTAAGGCACACAGATCACCTTCAAGCCTCAGCACATAGGTCACATTTTAGGATGCCCTTCTTACACAAGAAAGATTTGTTTTTCAAGAAACATCAGGGAAATAAGACTAATTTGTGGTTCTTCTTTCCCTGAATTTTTTAAGAATTACCGTCTCTAAAAATTGATGTGTTCATTTTTCAGCTCAGCAGTTTCATTATTCAGTGCATCTCCATTCCAAATTTTTCTTTTAACTTCCTGCAACTTCCATATCAGCCTTCATACCAACAAGATTCTTCTTGACTGAATCACATCTCTTATTATTATACTAGAGGCCCAGTGCACAAATTTGTGCATGGGTGGAGTCCCTCAGCCTGGCTGGTGATTGGGGCTGATCAGGGCCGTCTCACCCAGTCCTGATCAGGGCCGATCGGGGTTGGCCGGCCATGGGGAGGGACCGCTGGAGGTTGGCCAGTCAGCTGGGGGGATGGGACCACCGGAGGTTGGCCGGCCATGGGAGGTTGGCTGTGGGAGTGCACTGACCCCCAGGGGGCAGCTCCTGCATTGAGCGTCTGCCCCCTGGTGGTCAGTGTGCATCATAGCAACCAGTTGACCAGTCATTCGGTTGCTTCGGCTTTTATATATATAGATATTAATAAATCAACTTTTGTTGAACTTCATTTTCTTTATCCAAGACAGTAAAACTTACATTTCTTGTACTTTCCATTTCAAATGGGTTTGGTGTTTCTAAGCATTGCAGTAAACTAAAAATATCAATAATCTCATTAAACTATGTTTTCCTTGCTGGTGGCCGGTATATAGTCTGATTTAGGCTATAATTTGTGAACATGCAAATGATATTAATTTCATTTGTTTTCTGAATTTTTAATAATACTGGTTTATATTTTTCTATACTTGTATTGAATGTAGGTCAAGGAATACTTATGCCTAATAATGTGAAATAATAATATTTACATGTTAATTATTGTTTATAAATTTGGTCATGTATTAAAGTGATAGGGAAATATCCTAATAATTAATGCCCCTGATTAATATTGTAGAAGAAGAAAATCACATTGCAGAATACATCAGATGGAATAAAACATGCCTTCCAGACAGATAACAGCAAGGTATGCCAATACCTGCTGCATCTCTGCTCTTCCCAGCATAAGTTCCAGCTACAGATGAAAGCAAGACAGAGCAACCAAGATGCCCAAGATATTGGTAAGGAGACACAAACGATGACAGGTGACTCCAGGGTGTATGCATGGTTTTTGCCACAAATTTTAAAAGCACTTCCATGTTTAGGATAAAAATTACAAGCTATCTAGATGTTAAATGATTAAGTCAAGTTTAGAAAAGTGTGAAAAGAAGCCGAAATTTCAATTTCATGTTCATTTTGAAAACGACCCCAGATCAGTCAGGGGATACCTGTTGAAATATATATTTTGTGTTTATCCCTAGGATAACTGATGTAAATGTTATAGACGTTTGGATTATATTCTCTACCCATAGTAAACTTAAGCACTGTTTGGGAAGGTAAGACTAATATACATGAAACAATAAATAGTAGACAATAGAGGGTCAGGGTTTGAATGACAGATTATAGCGTACAGGCTCTGTGATCATGAGAAGAGGAGAGGGGGAGCAAAGACAAGGGTACTTGAGTGATGGCGCTTGAATTGGAATTTTGAAGAACAAAAATAATTAAATAGATTGAACATAAATGGCAAGTTGTTTTCCAGATGGGGGAAAGAACCTGGGAAACAGGCAGGGGGCAGGGGAGTATGCACCCAGCATGATGAAGTTACATACCTTAGCACATTTCCCACCTGTTAGTTTTACTTGGGTGTGTCCTGTTTTGAGACTGAGATGAATAGCCAAAGTACCCGATATAAATGGTCAGGAGAGTGGTTTTGGTTTCTTTTAAAAAGGAACCAGCAGAAGAAAGTAATTCAGCTCTGAAAGAACATCTCAATCAGAACTGAAATATTTGAAGGTTAACTTTGCAAGACCACATGTAGACTTAAAGTTATATAAAATCTAGTTCTGTGTAGTATATAGTTATACAAAATCTAGTTCTGCGTAGTATATTGTTATAAACTTCAAGTTAAACACTCTGAAGGCTTAGTTTAAAAAATTTAATGGAATAGCACTCATGACCTGTGCATCAGAGCTCTCTGAATTCCTTATCCAAACTTTCTCACATCCTGAAATCTTACAGAAATTATATTCCCCGTGGGATGAGAATGGGGTGATGGCAACCTGTGAATAGCCTTTCAAAATCAAGACGGTAGGGGCTGTATGCTTATTAAAAATGAAGATTCCAGAAACCTACCTGAAACATGGTATATCCCAATCTTTGGGCATTGGGTTCCTGGAATCTGTATTTTAACAGGCTTTCTTCAGTATTGATGTTTATGCATGCTAAAATATGATAACTACTGCTATAATCTCATTATTCCTTTTCTTTTCCTGCTTTGCTAAAATATTTATATGTTTCCAAACTATAGTGAAATATCTAATTTATTAGGGTTACCAGTATTTCTACTTGGACTCATATTCAGTACAAACCAGAATTGAACAAATGAAGGTTACATCATTATAGATGTGGCATAGTGTACTATAGTAAAAAATAATCAGAAGACCATCTGTGAAGCTAGCCTTCCATCTTCAACATTTCTTATACTAAAGAATAATGTAGTATAGATCTTAACAATATAGTGAAGATCATGAACTATGGAGCCAGATGCCAGAATTCCAACCTCACACTATTACTTATAAGTTCTGAATCTTGGCAGGCTACTTAAAACCTCTGCTTTAGTTCCCTATCTGTAAAGTGATTATCCTAATGAGAATACCTTATAATACATCATAAGGTTGCTCTGAAGATGAATGTACTGTAAAGCAATTTAAAAATGCCTGGCACAGTGTAAATATTGAATAAGTATGTATTATTATCATGACCATAATTGTTTTACCACCATTGTTTCTAGTAGTAGCAGTAGTATGGCCTTAGGAAAATAATTGACTTTTTGGAGTCTGACTTTCTTCATCCATGAAGTGGGAATGCTATCTGTATCTCACAGATTTGCCCTGGGAATACAACAGCTGTGGATCCTTGAACTCATATGGGAAAGCGTTTTAAAATGGTATTAATCTATATTTTCCCCAGATTTTGTTAAACTTTCAAAGGAATTATTTTCTGGTTAGAATTGGCTTAGAAGTAACTGCCTGCCCATGTAACTATCTGACAAGTGAAAATAACTGGTGTTATCTATAGGATGTTGAAGGGCTAGCAAATGCATGTTACTTCTTTAGAGTTATAGAATTGTGAAAGAAAGAACCTTAGAGGCCAGTATGTTGGAAACTTTACTGACGAGGAAAAAGGTTCAGAGAAGATAGAGTATCACCTAGCCTTAGAGTTAGAAGTCAAACAAGGCTGAAACCCTGGTCTCTTAAATTCTAATCCAATAATCTTTCTATTTTGATGAGCTTTTGAAGAACTAATTTGCATGGAATTAAATTAAGATTAATAATCATTTGTTAAGCACTTACTACTTGTAAGACACCATGCTAGGTGCTGTGGGATAACAAAAATAACTGACGTCCCTCAACTCAAAAGAGCATACAGTTAAGTTGACGTATAAGGAACTACAAAACCATAAAAGGGACTGAACAATAAAGAGCACAAAGAAAGATTAGGAAGTGTGGAGTGCAGACTGAGTGTGGAACTAGCAAGCCTTTGGGTTCAAATTTGGAACATTAGTATTAGGATGTAGGCTTATTCTAATCTGTATCCCATCTTGGCTTAGAGTTTTTTCCAGGTGAAAGCAGTAGGATAAGCCAGGTAACTGGATGATTTATGATCCCATCCCATAAATATATGCAATATTTTAAGTCCTACACAGGAGTAGGATATGAGTGGATTTAACTAGCATAATCCTTGATGTTTACAAAAGAGATATATACTAAACAGAACTGGCTGTCTCTATTCCTGCCAAAATTTGTTCTACATTTGCCTTAAGGGTGAAGAATGTATTGAATGTAAAGGTATTTCCTGGTAATTGAATCTGTGTAAGATTCAGTTTTTCATCTTTATTAAAGAAAATAGAAATGTTGTCTGCTCTAATAAAAATTGTATTTTAGGCTAAAGATCATTGTGGGAATTTTTAAATGAAAGTCTTTTTTAAAAATTATTATCCTGTTTTTAACTTGGTGTCCACTTCTACTTCAGAGAAAGAACATTGAATTTTTCTGAGGACAATGAGACATATTTATTTAAACTTCATCCTGATGCATGAATATTACAAACCTTTGGTATTTTCCTATCTATTTACACCTGAGATAAAGTATTCATTATTAATCTTCCTAAGAATTAGAAAATAATAAAACAATCTAAAGATCCAAGTCAGCAACAGTTGACATTTTATTTTATTTTTTGTGTGTGTGTGTGACATTTTTAAAAGGAAGTTTTACAGCTGTTTTACATAAGTAGTCGAGCTATATTCCTTAGAGCTGCAACACAGGGTTGGTACTTTACATGGGAGTGGCAAATGGAGTGCCTTGTGATGTGGATTACTAGTGCATGAACAACTAAATCATTTCAAATTCTGTGCTTCTGGTCCTTTATTTACATGGAAGGACTTTTATGCAAAAATTCTGTGATGCAGTGCTTTTGTTAATAGCCTCAAATGTTTAAATGCTTCCATGACATTAGTTTCCAAAATAGAATAGCCAAGCACTTGTTATAAGGTGTCTCTAAATTTAACCTCTAAAAGACCATTTTGGATGTACTGGTATATTTAGAAGTGAAAGGAATTTAAGCATGAAGAGAACCCCAGCTCCTTGATCATGTAAATGAACGGAAACCAAGAGAAAGGAACACAACTAATATTTGATTCTCCCACAGCTCCTGTGCCACATTTAAATCATAAAAAGTCAACAAGATTGGATGGTGGGATTGGCATAGTAATGAAATAACAAAAGAAATGATTTACCATTAAGGCCTTTTGTGGCAACAGTTTTATTGAGATATAGTTCACATACCATGCAATTTACCCATTTAAAGGGTACAATTCAATGGTTTTTAGTATAGCCACAGGGCTGTGCAACTATCACCACAATCTGCCTTAAGCTTTTAAAAATATAATAATTAAGAACTTTTTCTCTGGGCAAAACTCCTCTGCTCAGCTTCCTTTTTGGCATGATCTCACCATGTTGGCCTATCCAGGTGTCACCTCTCTCTCCCCATCCTTGGTTTTCGCAGACACACTACTAGGGTTGAAAATTTCTCTGTCAAATGTCATTCTCATTTCTAACTGAAACCGATAATTGGGAATTTGGGGTCAGTAAGCCTGAAGCCCAAACATTATTGGATCCAAGGGAATCGTTAGATGAAGTAGGAAATGCTAACCAGGCCTTGAATGGGAGAAAGCTGCAAGGATGGAGAGATGATGGTATGAAAACCAAGACCTTCCAACCTCCTCTTTAAAATCCTGGATTGCCACACTTTGAAAGCTTTCTACTTATGCTGGCAGTCAAGACAATTAAAAACTGCATGCTGTATTTTGTTTATTAAAATAACTCTTCTCATAAAGGTACTGCAGTGTTTCCATCGTGTAAAGCAATCCTATTTCCTTGTAGAGAGAGCTTCGTTTAGGAGCCTGAATCTCCAAGCGGAGTCCGTTAGAGGATTTAATTTGGGACGAGCAATCAGCACTGGCAGTCTGGCCAGCAGCACCCTGAACAAACTTGCCGTTCGACCTCTGTCAGTTCAAGCTGAGATTCTGAAGAGGCTCTCCTGCTCAGAGCTGTCGCTTTACCAGCCATTGCAAAAAAGTTCAAAGGAGAAGAGTGGCAAAGCTTCGTGTGAGGAAAAGCCTAGAGAGATGAGCAAATCATACCACGATCTCAGTCAGGCCTCTCTCTCTCCTCATCGGAAAAATGTCATTGTTAACATGGAATCCCCTTCACAAACCATTGTGGAGTTGGTAGGAAAACCGTTTCACCAGATGGCAAGATCTGATACAGAATCTTTGGCAGGAGTCACAAAACTTAATAAGTAAGAACATAATTAACTAACCCGAACTACATATTTGTAAATTCTACATTTCATGCCATTTGTTTTTGTTTTATTATTTTCACCCTTTTTTTTTTTTTTTTACATTGACACTTCCTCCTCCTACCTTCCTTTTCCTCTTTAGTTCAAAGTCTGTTGCAAGTTTAAATAGAAGTCCTGAAAGGAGGAAACATGAATCAGACTCCTCATCTTTTGAAGACCCTGGTCAAGCATATGTTATAGGTCAGCATAAACAAGCTTACCTTCTTTTCCCCCGTACCTGGTGCTCATAGTAAAGTGAATGAGATAATGTAATTTACCAAAGAATTTTTTTTGGTTCTATGTCCCAATTATCAAAACTGTTTGTGAATATAAAATTTTTAGGCTACTTAAAATGCACCAAGTGAAATACTAGAATGATTTAACAACTGATTGCTTAGTGGCACAGACTCTTAGCTTTCTCTTGGTGGCAATTAAAAGGCATGACCATCTTACCAAGAGAACCAGACAGCGAACCCTTGGCTTTGGTTGTCCTTTCCTTGGGTTTTCCTCACAAGCCTGTGAGAGTAGACTCCACTAATGCTGTATTTTTTTGGTTTTTTTTTTTTTGAAGAAAGGTTTATTTAAGGTACTTTCAGAATAGCATGAATGGAATTGTCTCTAAAAACAGACTGGATGGGTTGGTAGGTAGAAATTCCTAGTTGATTTAAGTTTTTCAAATTCTCCCAGCTAGGTGGGGCCTATTAATATAAGTAGAGAAGTTGTGTGTTTATAAACACACAATACCTTATATAAGGTAATACGTTCGGGTTTCCTGTTGCTTTATGCATCTTAAAAGGGACATGCATAGAATTGATCTTTGAGAAGAATAGCTATTTAAGCACAGAGGTCCAAAAGATTCCTCAAAATATGAAACAGCTGGGGAGATAAAAGGGAAACAAGAATAACCATCTTCTGCTGTTCACCAAATAATACTAGTTATCTCTCCCTTAGACCAAAGTTTGATCATTTAACTCCCAATTATACAAAGTTAGAAACTAGTATTTTCTCATCCTGTAGTTGGTTTGGGGATATGTGAAGTAAATGAAGTCAAAAAAGAACTCAACACTATAGTTGATAAATATGTATGGAAAGCAACATTACTTTATTAATACAGGCTTCCAAACTTTCAGTGATTGTACTATCATCAATTTTAATTGAATTAGTGGGGGGGAAAAAACTTTAAACATATAAAAAACAAAGTCATCTTATATATTAAAAATAGCCCAGAAAATACTTTTCAAAGTACATTCACTATAATGGGATCTCTTATAGAGTCTAAGCTATTGATCTACATAGAAGAAATCCATCACATATCAGATGTAGAATAGTAAAATATTCCATAGACAAACACAGATAAAATAAAACTCATCCATGAAAGAAAATTTATTTCTGCACTTTTTAATTAAGGTTATCCATTCTTATTGAATATTGGATTTTCTTTTAACATTTGAACACATGTTTTTAAAAATCATTTCAGTTTCATCACTTCATATTTGGCATATTAAAATGTCATTGTCATAAACAATACATTTGTTTTTAAGTTTATTCTGCAAAACAAGTTGATATGCTTAACTTGGACATTAAAAATAGTAAATAAGCCTATTGTGGGAAGACATATTTTTCTGAGTATAAATAAAAGAAAATGCTACCTTAATGTTTTATTGCTTTTTATGCATTTATCAGAAGAAATTACTTCTATACCTAATATCTGATCATTTTATAAACTGTCTAATAATTTAATTTATACCACAGGAATGACTTTGCATAGTTCTGGAAATTCTTCATCCCAAGTTCCCTTAAAAGAAAATGGTAGGTTTACACAATGTTTTTCCCCCCCTTTCCATCATATCTTTTCTCTTGTACCTTATGAGCTGGTCTTAGACCTAATAACAAAGCGTCTCTGAATCCGTGCCAAGGATTTTAGGCCTTATACTGGAGTCAAAGGAGAACGCATTTGCAGCACGTAGTGATGTGGTGGGCCCTATCATTTAGGCTAATGTTGGTGAACTAGACAAACAACAGACTAAAGATATGGACACTAATTGGGAAGCTAAGATAATTCAGGTGAGAGATAATTTTGATTAACGAGTTTTAATTGAGGCAGTTATTTTAAAGAGATCTTGAGCTGAATTTTGAAGTAAAAGGATTTATTCAGGTAGATTGTTGAGGATAAGCATTCCAGACCAAGGCCGTAATATGGTCAGAGATATGGAGATAGGTGAAAAGATAACAGATTCAGGAACTGCATGAATCTCTGCATGGAGGTATGTGAGAACAGGATTAAAGCTTAGAACTAAGTAGGGACTAGCTTTGAGTCTTAGCCTAAATATTATGGGAAGAATCTGAAGACTTAAAATGTTGAAATTTAGAGTTTAGAAGTCTAAGAAACAAAGTTAGGGGACGAAACTTTGTGCAGTTACTTCAAAGTCAGTGGATTCACCATTTTTAGAATTTAGGTTACAAAATACTTGCATGGACATTATCTTACTTGATCTTTCTAGCACCTTTCATGGGAAGAAGGAATGTTTTACTCTGCATACACTAGTTTCTTACCCTCAAACTCTTGAAGTTGAAATAATCAGAAATCTGATGAGAAGAAAGCAAATATATTAATCGATGTTTTAATATAGTTAAACTTGATGAAGCTTTGAGGTTAGTTCTAATGTGCCTGGAAACAGACTTGAGAACCAAGAAAAAATGAAGGCATTAAGAGTAGATTGAACCATATGAAACTGCTGGTTTTGTAGGTCAAAACTCAAACACCAGAGTGCCATTATCTATAATTTTCATTCTCTCATAGAAATATACATACCGCCCGGCCAGTGTTGCTCAGTGGTTGAGCATTGACCCAGGAACCAAGAAATACACATACCAGGTCTTTGAGAGAAGAAAATTTTCCTTGGAAGTAAAATTGTGTCATAGTGTAAAAATACACACAAGTATCTTAAAAACTCATGGAAAATGTAGGCTATTTTCATCTTATTATTAAAAAATATATCAATCTTGAAAAATCTGAGGGGATATCATTAAAGAAAAAGTGAACTTATACAGGTACTTGGGCCTAAGTTACTAAGACCCTGGTATATATCTTTATGATGATCAAGTGTCTTACATGTAGTGAATTTAGAATACCTGTGTGCCTAAATAATTATTAAAATGCCTGTAATGGTGGTAATTATTGAATAACAGCTATTGAATGCTTATTGTGTACTAAACACTTATGTTTAGCTCTCATTTAATAATAGGTGAGTGGCTAATATTATGTCCTTTTCACAAATGAGAAACCACACCACAGAGAGGCTGAATGTCACAGAAGGTCATGGAGCTTGTAAGTGCCCAGGTCATAATTTGAATGCAGGAAGTCTGTTTCCAGAGCCCCGCTCTAATCTACTCTTTCAACTGTTTCCTATATAGTAATGCTTAATTATATCCACAGGTATTATTTCTACCAGCTAAACTTTTTAAAGAAGCTGTATAATAATTTATTAAAGGATAAAATCTGGAAGTGTGTTTTAGCCTTCCTTCTGATGGAAAAGAATATGAATTTACATTGGATACCACTTGAGCAGCATGTGCAGGGTAGTTTCTTTTTTAAACCTTTAGAAATGTCATCTTCCCACCTATCCCCTCCCTATAGAGGAAGGGTCAATCCATCTGCCTATGGATGTGTGCCCCGGTTGCCTTGCAGGCAAGTCTATGGTTTCTTCAATTTCTCTTTGAGTCTGCCCCATTAGCCCTGAATTAGTGCTCTGTTGAGAACTAAGTTTTCATGTAATAAAGTATGGCAAACATTTTTCTAAATAAGGTAACTGATAAAAAGTTAAGTACTTGCCCATGAGTCAAATATATGCTCTCTTATTCTAATTTCAATGTTCTTTCTTGCTGGTCAAGATTATTAGAAGAAATTGGAAATGAGCATCAACTAATATTGAAGTATTCATAACTTAATACAAGGACCGACAAATACTACTTAATCTTTTATGACTTTCAGAGACCCTTAATGAAGGTGAACCTTGAAAAAGAAGATAAAAAAAGGGGGGACATGAATCTTATAATCTCATGAAACAAATATGGAAAAGATTCCCATTTTTTAAAAATATATTTTATTGATTTTTTTTTTTTTTACAGAGAGGAAGGGAGAGGAATAGAGAGTTAGAAACATCGATGAGAGAGAAACATCGATCAGCTGCCTCCTGCACACCCCCCACTGGGGATGTGCCCACAACCAAGGTACATGCCCTTGACCAGAATCGAACCCGGGAACCTTCAGTCCGCAGGCCGACGCTCTATCCACTGAGCCAAACCGGTGCTGGCAAGATTCCCATTTTTTTATTGTAATTTCAAAAAAATAAAGGTTGCTTAACCTTTCAAACAACACACTTCTATAATATTTCTTCCTAAGAGAGTAAAAACAAAAATGTAGAACTTATCCAAGAATTATGTAAAATTGGTTTTCAATGTTTCTCATTTTATTATAATTCAGGATTATTACATAATTAAAAAGTAACTTTTAGCTAGATTTGTCACCTTCCTTCTTGTTCAAACCACAACAAACACTCTTAACAAAAACAAAATGCAAAAAACAAAAATGTCATTGGAAAGGTTATTCTAATACAAAAGGACTTGGTACAGACAGTAAAAATAAGCCTTTTTTTCCCTAACATTAAAACTGATTTTTAAAAAAATATCTTTTTATTGATTTGAGAGAGGGAGAGAGAGATAGAAACATCGATGATGAGAGAGAATCATTGATCGGCTGCCTCCTGCACACCCCACACTGAGAATCAAGCCCCCAACCCAGGCATTCCTGACCAAGAATCTAACTGTGACCTCCTAGTCATAGGTTGGCGCTCAACCACTCAGCCATGCCGGCCGGGCAAAACTGATTATTTTTATGGACAATATTAAATTCAAGTAATAAAATGTTATACAAACAAAAGTAAGATTTTAAAATACACTTTGTTTAATAGGATTTTTTATTTTTATTGATTTCAGAGAGTAAGGGAGAGGGAGAAAGGGATAGAAACATTAATGATGAGAGAGAATAATTGATGGGCTGCCTCCTGCATGCCCCTACTGATATGGGAATTAACCAGAAGTAAAAAAATAGAGTCAACTAAATTAAGGACCGAAAGGAACTTTAAAAAGTTTATTCAAATCATCTTTTCATTTTATGGATGAGTTAAACGAGTCCCCAAGATGTTATTTGGCTCCAAATACTCAGCTATTTAAATATTCTGGCGCAGAAATACAACACCAAAGTTGTCATTTTGATCCCCTTTACCTACCACTGGAGCAGTTATTATATTAGTAGTATAACAATGAAAAATGCCTCTCTTCGTTTTTGTACAATATGGTGCTACTGACTCATTACCCCCAGGATTTCAAGTGGGTCTTTTTCCTTAGGGCGAGTGATGGATTTATCTAGAGCAGTCGTTCTCAACCTTCCTAACGCCGTGACCCTTTAATACAGTTCCTCATGTTGTGGTGACCTCCAATTTCATTGTTACAAATTGAACATAATTAAAGCATAGTGATTAATCACAAAAACAATATGTAATTATATATGTGTTTTCCAGTGGTCTTAGGTGACCCCTGTGAAAGGGTCATTCGACCCCCAAAGGGGTCGCGACCCACAGGTTGAGAACCACTGATCTAGAGCTTACTCTACCTGTAGTCTAGTTAATCTTAGAATCAATGGCATGAAGCTGCCCTGTAATTGACAAGGTTCTATATATATAACCAAGAAATTAGTTTTTCTTGCAAAAAAAAAAAAAAAGTTGACTCAGAGGGATTATACAGGGGGGAGCAAAAGTAGGTTTACAGTTGTGAGTACAGGAAATAGTTTATTTAGTATTATTATTTATTACTAGAGGCCCAGTTCACAAAATTCCTGCACTCGGGGGGTGGGGTCTATCAGCCCAGCCTGCGCCCTCTCACAGTCTGGGAGCCCTCAGGGGATGTCCTTAGGTGCTACTGCAGAGGCAGGAAAGGCTCCCACCACCGCCCCTGTGCTTACCAGCCGTGAGCCCGGCTTCTGGCTGAGCGGTGCTCCCCCTGTGGGAGTGCACTGACCACCAGGGGGCAACTCCTGCATTGAACATCTGCCCCCTGGTGGTCAGTGTGCATCATAGCGATCAGTCATTCCGCCGTTTGGTCAATTTGCATATTAACCTTTTATTATATAGGATTATTATATTTTTTTCCATAAAAACAACTGTAAACCTACTTTTGCCCCACCCTGTATGGCTTTGGCCTTATTAGAAATATGATCTTACTGTGAAATTCAATTAGTTTACTCATAGAACTATCTATCATTAGTATCTACAATTTATTCTAGTTAGCGACTGTAGGTGTCCACATGAACCTTATGAGAGAGGAGAAAGGCAGCGTCTAATGCAGAGGAGGGTATACATTTTATTTCTTAATTATATATTTATTTTATTAAGATCTTTTCCAGGTAAACATTATTGAGAATGAAACTGATAGTTACTGATGTGATAATAATACAGCATATATTACTCAGAGAAGTGAAAATTTCAAGTTAAAGTTCTTTTTCACTTTAAAATATTTGCAGAATTTGCTGGGTTATAGAATACATTAATGGGAAAAGAAAATTCTTTTAAGGATTTAAAGATAAGTAGTCCTTGAATATTAGTGCTTGTTTCCTTGTAACACTTAACTCAGAAATGTCTTGGTATTTGAAATATCTAGCTACTTCACTTTCAGAGATTAATAAATTCTATTCAGTCCTCATTGAATTCTATAAATACCTTTAAATTTAATTGTCATGTATTATATACCCTCAGATACTTCATCCTCCCTCTTTTTTAAACTAGTGGAAGAATATTTGAACATCTATTTGAATAGAATACAAAAATAAATAAAAACTTGGTGTGTACACAGTACTATTTAGTGACATGTAGTTGCACGAACATTTTTCCTTCCTTCTGTCCTCACATTAATACATCACTTTACATGGAGGTAGACTGTGGATGGGGCAGGGGGACATCCCTGTTAAAAAGAATAGGTTAGCGCCCTGGCCAGTGTGGCTCAGTGGATAGAGTGTCTGCCTGCGGACTGAAGGGTCCTGGGTTCAATTCCGGTCAAGGGCACATGCCTGGGTTGTGGGCTCCATCCCCAGTAGGAGGCATGCAGGAGGCAGCCGACCCATGATTCCCTCTCATCATTGATGTTTCTCTCTCTCTCTCCCTCTCCCTTCCTCTCTGAAATTAATAAAAATATATTTTAAAAAAAGAGTAGGTTAGCAAAGCTTCTCTTTCCAAAAGAATATTCAACTCCGCCCTACTCAAGTCTTCTACTCTAGCTACTCTAGAGTCCCCAGGACTCTTTCTACTTCTTTCCATCTCAACCTTTGCTAATGCCATCCTTGTTGCTGCACTAGTATAACCATCTTCATAATCCACTTATTAAAATCCTACCCAACTTTCTTGAAGTTTCTGTATTCCTGGCAATAAGAAGCCTCTCCTTTTCTATGGGTCTGACTCATGCCTTTGCTCTGCAGCTATTTCACTGACAGTCTCAACAAAATTCTCTGTATCACTCAGGCTAGATCTTTGCTCGTCTGTCAAAGATTTGGTCTGATTCAGCTCACATTTACTATGCTAGCGGCTTTCATATACAATCGCATTTTATGTTCCCTAATTGCCTCGTGAGGGACTTTGACAGGAAAATTGTTCAGTAAACATTTGAAGGATGAAAGAATAATTGAATAAACGAATGTTTAAATCTCACTGGTGAATCCTTGAATATAGAGAGCTTAATCTGTTGCTTCTAGTTAGGAAAGCAAATATGCAAAAATACTGCAAATTTAACATTGTGTGTGTGTGTGTGTGTGTGTGTGTGTGTGTGTGTGTGTGTGTGATCCAGTGTTTACCTAGGATATATCTTAACATACACATTAGTCTAATAAGTAATATAAATAACCAATCTTGTTAGTGTATGGTTGGAAATGAAAATAAAGAAAATGGAATTATTCTTTGAATAGATATATTTGACTTCTAGCAGGTAGTCCCTAGGGACATGAAGAATATCAGCTTTATAACTGAAGGCAAAACACTGTATAGAGTAAATGGACTTTGTCTTCACGATGGTGGCAGAAGTCTACATTTACATACCTAATGTGACCCCACTCCCTTATTTATTTATTTATTTATTTCCCTTATTTATTGTATGGGTTTTGTTCTGCTGTATTATGTATTTGATTCTAGCCGAAAATTAGAATTAATTGTCTGTTTTAGGATAAAAGCATCATGGCTGCTTAAATGATAATATTAAGCTATGCATTAACTAACACATGCCATTGTCCCGTGATTTGGGGAGGAATTTTAATAAATTAATTAGGAATACTGAATTACTATTACTGTTATTAATTATAACTAAGTTTATAACTGGGTTTTGGTCAAAAGAGAAACAACAAAAGGGACATGTATACTACAGGAAGCTAGCAAACTTTCACTAATACTTATGTTTAAGGGACAAGGTTAATTTACTTCAGAGAGCAAATGATTGTTTTTATTGTTTTCTGACATTAAAGGAGTTTATTTCTAGAATATGGAGTATCACATATACATCATTTAAGCATTAATACATGTTGTACAATAAAGGTACGACTTGTTTTATACCACAATACAATTTTAAACTCATGGGTAATTATAATTGATGTTTAAGAAGTGTATTAGTTTGCTAGAGCTTCCATAACAAGGCCCCATAAATTAGGAGGCTTAAACAACAAATTTATTATCTCACAGTTCTGGAGGCTAGTAGTCTGAAATTGAGGTGTTAGCAACATTGATTTCTTCTGAGGTGCCTCTCCTTGACTTGTAGGTGGCAGGCAGTCTTTTCTCTCTATCTTCACATGTGTGCACATGTCTGTATTCAAATTCCTTCTTATACAGACACAAGTCATATTGGATTAGGGCCTGCCCTAAAGACTTCATTGTAACTTAATTATCTCTTTAAAAACCTATCTCCAAATATTGTCGTATTCTGAGGTACTGAGAGTTGGGGCTTCAACATATAAATTGGGGGCGATGGGAGTAGAAAGAAGGGTCACAAATCAGCTCATAATGGAGAGAAAGAGCATGAGAGTGTGTATGCGTTCTAGATGATTAGATTGTAAGTAAATGAAGTAATATTTCTTATTGAAATGACAATTAAATGGCATTTATTGGTTTAATTTAGGAGATATTTATTCATGATCATCTTACTTAAAAAAAAATAATCCAAATGGAAATAAAAAGTTAATTAAAGCATTAAACTAGCATTTATCAAGTACCAACTTAGGACATTTTGCTGGGAAGTAATACTCGTTGTAATGTTGAACAAGTCATAAACTGTTATTCCTCATCCACAAAACAATGATTAAAAATCTCTTTACCTACCTCATGCGATTATTCCACAAATAAAATAGAAATAAATAGAAGTCCTTTGAGAATGTAAATGTGCTAGCCAAGTCATTATTAATGAGACTTTAAAAAAGAAATTTATTTTTATTGCTATTTAACTCTAGAATTTACCATGAATATTTTACTCATTTTAAATAAAAATGTCAACCACCTATTAGTAGGAATTTCTTAATATATTTAGGAAGTCAGTGGTGATGCAAAAGAAAGACATGGAGTCAGAAAACCTGAATTTAAGAATCTGATCTTGCCAGTACTAACTGAGTAAACCTGCTCAAATTATTTAACCTCTTGAAATTTAATTAATAATTTCTAACTGAAATATGCTTATTTCACAGAGAATCATTTATAAGGAATAAATGTGACAACATACAGTTATTTTGTAAATATAAATCACTATCAAAACATAAGATGATGGCATTATATTATTTAAAATATAATTTTATAGTTACTGAGCAATCTGTAAATGAGCTTTGTTAACATTTAAATTGGAACAAGCAGACAGTCTTAATGCCTGAACATGTTATGTTTATTTTACCTTAAAATTATGCATTTTCAATAGATGTGCTACACAAAAGATGGAGCATAGTATCCTCACCAGAAAGGGAGATTACCTTGGTGAACCTGAAAAAAGACGCAAAGCATGGCTTAGGTAAGTCACTGTGAGATTCTTAAAGTCTGTAGCATAGCATTGGCATTGAGGCACAACCTACTTCTGATCATGCCACTGGCTGCCCACCCACAACCCTTCACCCTACCTGCCCAGTCAGGAAATATCAAAGATGAAATGCTTACAAGCAATTCTTCCACCAAATTTAACAGTCCCATCTCATAGGTGTTACTTGTCTATATATATAAAAGCCTAAGTGACCGTCCAACCGGTAACTATGATGTGCACTGACCACCAGGGGGCAGACGCTCAATGCACAGGCATGGAAACATGGAACAGACTGGTGAATCTCAGAGGGAAGGGGGCAGGGGGGAGGGCGGAAAGAGATTAACCAAAGATCTTATATGCATACTAGAGGCCCAGTGCACAGATTCGTGCACCAGTGGGGTCCCTCAGCCTGGTCTGCAGGGATCGGGCCAATACCAGCAGTCCAACATCCCTTGAGGGGTCCCGGATTGCGAGAGGGCGCAGGCCAGGCCGAGGATCCCACCAGTGCATGAATTCATGCACCGGGCCTCTAGTTAATCATATTTGTAGTGACAGTCTCCACACTTCTGTGTGTCAAACAGGCTAATCATTAGTCATAGAAAGTACCAGTATAATGAAGATCTTTTTAAAATGTGCTATTTCACAGGATTTCAAATCATTGGTGGGGAGAAGATGGGAAGACTGGATCTAGGTGTATTTATCAGTTCAATTACTCCTGGAGGACCAGCTGACTTAGATGGATGCTTAAAGCCAGGTACTTTATATTTAGTTAATTTCTTGTGTACTTTACTGTCAGGCATGAATTTGCACAGATATCAAAAGTGGAACCTGGACAGAATAAAAATAATTGGCAGGGTGACATTTCTGATATTTAGCATGAATTTCTCTTTGTCATTGAAAATACTGGATTGTCTATTTTTACAGGAGACCGTTTGATATCTGTAAATAGTGTGAGCTTAGAGGGGGTCAGCCACCATGCTGCAATTGAAATTTTGCAAAATGCACCTGAAGATGTGACACTTGTTATCTCTCAGCCAAAAGAAAAGATATCCAAAGGTAATATAAACGTCTCTTGACTGTGTTCTGTTTCATTTTTACAAGAACTTCAGTAGCTTGGCCCAATAAATGAGAATTCAGCTTCTTAACTTCCTTTCTGGAAATTTTAACTATATAGTTCTGATTATTTTGATTTTATGGATCAGTTGAACTTTTTGATTGATTACTTCAAAGATTTTCTATCTCATTCCTCCTTAATAATACAGTTGACCCTTGAATGACCCAAGATTAGGGGTGCCGACGACATGCACAGTTTAAAATCCTTGTCTAACTTTCAACTCTCCAAAACTTAAGTTGTCTCCCCATAGGGGATTGGTTCCAGACTCCCCGCCCCCCGCCCCCCCGCAAAGTATACCAAAATTCGTGGATACTCAAGTCTTTTTTATAATATGGCATTGTCAGCCTTCCACATCTGCAGACTCCCAACCACAGATCGAATGGTACAGGTATTTATTAAAAAAAAATTTGTGGATACTGTGTTGTTCAAGGGTCATCTGTATCTGAATAAAAAAATGGATTTGTTGTGTAAAATTGATGTCACTTAAGTAAATTCTCCTAAATACTTGGTGTTTTCTATCACTTAGGCCAAATCAGAAATGAAATTCTTTGTCATTGCCTATGTAGTAGAAAACAAAACAGATAGAAATATAATATCTGTGAATTCCTATTCTGAACCAGTTTATAAAAAGGAAAAGAAAACATACTAGAAATTTAAAAACAAGACCATATCATTTTGTTTCAACCCCTTCCATTAGCATGTTGTGGGAGAAAACCCATATGACGAAGATCAGATGACTTATATTTGAGCTATGCCTGAGCCAGTTATTAGGTGTATGACTTACGTCCTCTTGAGCCACCATTGTTTTTTTCTTTAAAAAGGAAACTATCTCAGGCCTGCCTTGTCTGCCTGGCACAGAGTTATCATGCAGTCAAGGGGTAGGGCAGTGTTCATAAAAGGTGCACATACTACAGGGCAGTCCAGTGCAGGGCAGTCCAGTAGCCTTGTATATATTATAGATAAATTTTAAAAAAATAGTGATACACATACATACACACACACACTACTTTTAAACAAAAATACGATTACTTTTTTATACTCTGAATATCAGTCTGTAACTTGTTCACTCAATATATTCTGGACATCCATGAATGTCCAGAATCCTTTAAAAAAAAAAAAGTGTTCTTATTGATTTCAAGAAGAGGAAGGGAGAGGGAAAGATAGAAACATCAATGATGCGATAGTATCATTAATCCACTACCTCCCACAGGCCCCCTACTGGGGATCGAGCCCAGAACCTGGGCATGTGCCCTGACCAGGAATCAAGCCATGACCTCCTGGTTCATAGATCGACATTCAACCACTGGCCAGGCTATATACCTTTTTAATGTGGCATTATATTTTATATTCATGGGCATGTCAAAATTTATTTGTTTATTTTGTTGTGCATCCAGGTTAGCTAGAATTCTATTACATATGTCGCTGCAACAAATACATTTGTTTGCACACCACTGAAAATGTACTTATTTCTAGAGGTTAGACACCTAGAAGTAGATTAAGGAGTATGCACATTTAAATTTTTGACAAATGCTACCAATTTGCTCAAGTTTTATCAATTTACAGTCAACCAACTAGATATAACAGTGCTCTTCACACCATTAGTGTTATAAGAAATTATCAGTCCCATTTTTTGTTAGGCAAATAGGTAGAAACTGCATATCCCTGATCAACAATGAGAACGTCTTTTCATATAGTTATTAGTTACTAGAGGCCCGGTGCACAAAATTTGTGCCTGCACCCTCTCACAATCCAGGACCCCTTGAGGGATGTCTGACTGCCACAGGGATCGGGCCTAAACTGGCAGTCAGACATCCGTCTACCAATCCGGGACCACTGGCTTCTAACCGCTCACCTGCCTGCCTGCCTGATTGCCCCTAACCGCTCGCCTGCCTGCCTGATCGACCCTATCCACCTCTGCCTCGGTCCCCTCCACCGCGGCTTCGTCCAGAAGGATGTCCGGAATGATTTCTGGAAGGTTGTTCAGCTCTCCAGTCTAATTAGCATATTACACTTTTATTATTATAGATGAGGATTTTACTCCTAATTTCCAGTCTACATTATCATACCCTTGTATCACAGGAGTTCTAAACTCCTTTTTTTTTAATTAAAAAATTGTTTTAATCTTCACCTGAGGATATGTTTGTTTATTTTTAATTGATTTTAGGGAGAGAGGAGGGAAAAGGAGAGAAAGAGAGAGAGAGAGAGAGAGAGAGAGAGAGAGAGAGACATTATTTGGTTGTCTCCCGTACATGCCCCTACCTGGATTCGAACTTGCGACTCTTTAGTAGTACATGGGATGACGCTCAAATCAACTGAGCCACACCAGCCAGGGCTAAACTTTTTCTTATTGACTTTTAGAAACACTTTGTATATTAATGGTATTAACTCTTTGATTATTTTTTGTTACTATTCCAAATATTTTCTCTCCAGCTGCTCATTACTCTCCAGTTTTCTTTGGCTTTGCTTACTACATAAAACATTTAGTGTCTTATAAATTTGCATCTGTATTTTTTTTTACAAATGGCTCATGTGGTTTGTGTCTTACTTAGGCAAGCTTTCTTAAGTAGATTTTGATAAAGTCTATATATAAAATTTGGGGAGTTGTCTTTCTTGAGAATTACTTGGAATAATTGGTAGGACAATATTATAAACAAATATATAAATAATCATTAAACAAACAACAAGGATCTTTAGAGACCCAAATTATCTCTAGTTAGGGAATCAAGAAAGTCTTCACAGATTACTTGAAATAGGCCTTAGAGAATGGAAATGAGGAGTTAAGATGAAGGGGTTTCACATTTCCATAGAAGCTGCTTCAAGAATAACCAAAGGGTTGAGCAACGGAAACAGAAAGCATCTACTACATTTGTTGGGTTCTCGTCATGGTTTCAGGCCCTGGATCAGGTGTGATGTATGTGTTTTCCTGTGTAAAATCCTCCCAACAATAGTCAGGAACGTTGTGCATGTGTGTGAGCCCAGGCATGTGTTTGTCACTAACCTGTTATTTTCATTGGATTTTGACATTTAGTGCCTTCTACTCCTGTGCACTTTGCCAATGGCATGAAAAATTACATGAAGAAACCTTCCTATATGCAAGGCAGCACTATCGATTCTTCTGAGGATCACCGCTGGCCACGTGGTACCCTGAGGCACATCTCAGAGAGCTCTTTCGGGCCGTCTGGAGGGCTGCGGGAAGGAAGCCTGAGTTCTCAAGATTCCAGGACTGAGAGTGCCAGCTTGTCCCAGAGCCAGGTCAATGGCTTCTTTGCCAGCCACGTAGGTGACCGGACCTGGCAGGAATCACAGCACGGCAGCCCTTCCCCATCTGTGATATCCAGAGCCACTCAGAAGAAGAGGACTTCTACTGACAGTAACCAAAGCAAAGCTAAAAATCCAGGCATTTCTGATGCAACAGATTACTCGGATCGTGGAGATTCAGACATGGATGAAGCCACTTACTCCGGCAGTCAGGATCATCAAACGCCAAAAAAGGCATAGTTTAATTTGAATCTTTGTTTTTTGTTTTTAATTTAACAAAACAAACAACAGCAAATAAATTACAGAGTAGAATATTCTACTATAAACTACTTAGATTATTCTAGAAAGGAGAAATCATTTATATAGTATGCTACTAACTGCTACTGCATTTGATGCTAACTTTCAGAGAAATTAGCAGCTTTAAATACTAACTCTAAGATGGCTGTTATTCTGGGAACTTGTTACCTGATAAGCCAAAGAAATGAATAATCAGATGATGATTATTTTCTACAAGTTGTTCATCTCTTGCATACTTCATGTTGTAAGAGAATTTAATATCTGAAAAGTATTGTTCCTAAGTAGTTCATGGAATGGCCAGTTGACTTATTTTTGATAACCAGATCCTTCTGAAGTTTTGGATGGATGAACAACAATATAGAAAATTGCCCATTTCCTAGAAATGATATAAATTTAAGCGCACTTTCACAAGCAAATTCAGAAAAGAACCTTAAGCCCCCCTTTTTTTTTAACAGAAAAATAAACATTTGTCATAAGGGGGTTATGCCTTTATAACTGGGGCTCAGCTGCTGTGCCTATGTTTAGATTGGATTTGTAAACATAAGCAAAGTAAACATGAAGCCTACTCATCTTAAAACTCTAAGTTAAAAGCTACTGCTTACTATATATTGATTTTTTTTTTAAGGAAATGGGCATACTTTCCAAATTTGGGAGTCTAAAAAGCACTGGAAAAGGGTTATGTAAAAGCCAGGTCTGCAGTGGGTTGGTGCTTCCTTCCCTCTGCCATATCAAGCTGTTTGACCTGAAGCAAACCCTTTAATCTCTAGACCTCAATTTCCTCAACCATAAAATATGAAGGCATTGGATTAGATGATCTCAAAGATCTCTTCCAACCCTCATGATCGTTGAATCCACTCTATTCCTTAATATCTGTTTTTTCTTAATTTACCCAAAAAACACATATTGAATCTTCCAATAGTAATTCATTTTGAGTCTAACAAGAAATCCTTTTGTTTGTTTTTCTTTGTTAAGGAATCTTCCTCCTCAATGAATACATCCAACAAAATGAATTTTAAAACTTTTCCTTCAGCACCTCCTAAACCTGGAGATATCTTTGAGGTTGAACTGGCTAAAAATGATAACAGCTTGGGGATAAGTGTCACGGTACTGTTTGACAAGGTTTTCAAATGTTTTCTCTTCTCCATTTCCAGCAGCCTATTGTTTTTCAGTTAATTAATTGAATTGTTTTGCTTCAAAAAGGAAGCTTGTCAAATACTTCCAAAATTAAAAATTGAACCACATCTTAAAACTTTTTTAAAAACTTGAGCGTACTGCCCTAGCTGGTATGGATCAGTGGATATAGCATCGACCTGCGGACTAAAGGGTCCCAGGTTTGATTCCAGTCAAGGGCACATGCCCAGATTGCGGGCTCAATCCCCAGTGGGGGCTGTGCAGGAGGCAGCCAATCAGTGATTCTCTCTCATCCTTGATGTTTCTATCTCTCCCTCTTCCTTCCTCTCTGACATTAATAAAAATATATTAAAAAGTAAAATAAAAACTTGAGGGTACTAATCACTTTTTCCTGTGATTAGTACTACATTTTCCGCATAGATTTCATACTTGCTACATTTTTCGCATAGATTTCATATTTGCTTAATTTGACATGATTTAACAAATATTTGATAGTTTCTGCTTGAACATGAAATAATACTTTTAACCTACATCATAAGTAATATAAGCCTAATGTATATGCCCTTTCTCTGCATAATACATTTTAAGTTGTAAACATGATTAGTATTTTAAAATTACAGGTTCCCAAGGAATATATGTACTTTTAAAGTAGTTAAAATGTGAGCATAGGTTACTTGCTAAAATTACTTTAGAATTCTATTAACACATTGTATGTGGGAAACGTATTTATACATTTTATAAATACGTTTCCCACATACAATGTGCTAATGTATGTACTGTACCCTAAATGGTAACATTATCATTTATGGTATTTGAAGGATATTAGTAATAAAAAGTGATTTAGAAATGTCATAGAAATAGCACTATCCTATCTAATAAAGAGGTGATATGCAAATTACCATCACTCCAACACACAAGATGGCCACCCCCATGTGGTCAAAGATAGCTGCCCCCATGTGGCAACAAGATGGCCTACAGGGGAGGGCAGTTGTGGGCGATCAGGGCAGCAGGGGAGGCCAGCAGAAGAGGGCAGTTGGGGCAACCAGGCCAGCAGGGGAGGACAGTTAGGGGCGACCAGGCCAGCAGGGGAGGACAGTTAGGGATGACCGGGCCAGCAGGGGAGAGCAGTTGGGGGCGACCAGGCCTGCAGGGGAGGGCAGTTGGGGGTGACCAGGCCAGCAGGGAAGGGCAGTTGGAGGCGATCGGGCCGGCAGGGGAGCAGTCGGGCGTCAATCAGGTTGGCAGGGGAGTGGTTAAGGGGTGATCAGGCTGGCAGGCAGAAGCGGTTAGGGGCTATCAGGCAGGCAGGCAGGCAAGTGGTTGGAAGCCAGCAGTCCTGGATTGTGAGAGGGATCCCAGATTGGAGAGGGTGCAGGCTGGGCTGAGGGACACACCCCCCCCCCCCCAGTGCACGAATTTCATGCATCGGGCCTCTAGTTAATATATAATATATCAAAATCAAAAAGACCGATTTTTCTTGCATTTTTAAAAATATTATAGCTCTTTCCCTTTTGACCTTAACTTTAGAATTTTATCTTCCTGTTATTGTGAAGGGAAATAAAAGCTATATATCCATATGAGAATGAAAAATCTACTCATTACCTCTCATCTCCACTATAACCAAATTTCTCTACCAAAATCTTTCAAAATGAAAAAAAAAAATTTTTTTTCCTTTGACTCATGAGATTTGCTTTCACAATAGCAAATATGATCAGAAGTATATTATTCCATATACTATTTTTTCTGACAACTAAGTTCTCACACTAATTTTACTTTCTGCTTGCTCATAATGCATGGTATAGACTTACAGAGGAAGAGTAATTTTTCATATATTCAAGATCTGGCATGTTGTTATTTTCTGAATAAAGAGTTTTCCTTAAAGTAACTGCTTTAAGATTTGGAAAACTTAGCTAGAAATGTTTTGGGGTATTGAACTAATTGCATGTGCTGACATGCTGCAGCTGCTTTCGCTGATAAATTGAATGCTTTCTGGGTCTCAGATTTGAAAAATGGAGTGTGAACTTTTTTGTATTACAAAATGTTATTTTATTTGTCTTTTTCCACATAGGGAGGTGTGAATACCAGTGTCAGACATGGTGGCATTTATGTGAAAGCTGTTCTTCCCAAGGGAGCAGCAGAGTTCGATGGTAGAATTCACAAAGGTAGACTATTTGTGTGTATGGGAATTATATAGAGGGTTATCACTTCAACATATAAATTAGAAAGTTGATATAGACCTTCAGATTATTCCTAATATAAAATAAGAACATATACAATTATTTTAGGACTTGAGTATTAAAAAACTCCTTGATGTCATTCCCAAAACTCTTCTTTTTCACCTTATTCTCTAGTATCAGAAAATATTTTGGTGAAAAAAAGAAAATATTTTGGTGATAATTTAGTTCATGTTTTGCACTTCCTAAGAGGTAAACTACCAGAGGATGGCAAAAGGATAGTGACCTTGTAAAAACAGTGACATCTACATTTCTAATCAGAACTAACTAGTTTAGTTCCCTCCAATGCTCTACATTTGTAGTTTAATTTATCTTATACCATGATTTAAATCACTTTTACGATATATACAATATCGTATTCTAAAATGTACCTAAGATTAGCCATAGAATTGGAAAAGAAATTAAATACACATTAAAGAAACTGTGACAGTTTTGTCCAGAATTTGTCTGAGTCTCTCCTGAACAAGTTAATACGAAACAAGATCACATGGTATTAAAGAGCATGATTATATTTTATGATTTGCTTTTTTTCAAAATGACTGCCTTATTTATAGGTGATCGTGTCCTAGCTGTTAATGGAGTTAGTCTGGAAGGAGCTACCCATAAGCAAGCTGTGGAAACACTGAGAAATACAGGACAGGTAATAGATCATTATACCAAATTTATAAGACACCATAGAAGAACATAATAATGTGTGAATAATATCAATTTCATTGAAATCTCTAAATTTATTAGTCAAGAAACCATGCCCGATTTATATAAACATCCTAGTATTTTTTTCTACAAATTAAGAAGCAAGTATTAAAAAAAAAAAAAGCAAATATTATGACAAGAGGTTTTAGTTTTTTTACTGAAGAAACTGGCTTTCTGTATCACATTTAGCCCTAATATTACCAGAGATCTGACAGAAGGAATGGTGGAGATTGCATTTTTAAAATTTTCATCAGCATCTACAAATATTTAGTGATTTTCACTTCTAGTCATTCTTTATCCTCAAGGCTAAATTTATTTTGTTGAAATACATTTTAAGTCAGGGAGTTTAGCAAATTATTTACAATGGTCTTTATATTATAGTACAGTGGTGATTTTATTCTAGTACCACAATTTTCTATAATATGTTTGTTATTTTATTTTTTTCTTAATCCTCACCCAAGGATATGTTTTCATTGATTTTTAGGGAGAGAGTGAGGGAAGCATCAATGTGAGAGAGATACGTAGAAAGGTTGCCTCCCAGATGTCCTCCAACTGCAGATCAAACGTAAAACCTAGGTATGTACTCTGACCAGGAATTGAGCCTGAAACCTGTTGATATACCGAACAACACTTCAACCAACTGATCCACCTGGCCAGGGCATATTTGTTATTTTATAATAGACTTTTTTTTTCTTTTTAATCATTTATTGTTTTATACAGAAAATATTAAAAACTTAATTTTGAAATTTTCAAATCCCTTGCTTTTGTTCCATTTTTTTCTTTCCCTATACTTTAGTAGACCAGTTATTTACTTGAAATATATACCATCAGTTATACAAAAATCCTGAAAATTGATCTGCTTTCTTATAGTTATTTTTCATTAATGAAGTGCTTTTTCATTTGTTCAGTTGGTTCATCTGTTGTTAGAAAAGGGACAGTCTCCAGCATCCAAAGAACATGCCCCTGTAACCCCACAGTGCAACCTTTCAGATCTGGATGGTCAAGGTCAAGTCCCAGAAAAAATGGTGAAGAAAATGACTCCTATCAAAGACTACAGCTTTGTCACTGAAGGTCAGGCCTTAGGACACTGTCATCTCAGCTTGCACATATTCAAAATTGGAGTTTTGCATGTTGGATACAATTCATGCCTGAGTCTCTAATTATTCTTGTCAAATGTGAATAATCTGATGTAGCACTACACTGAATTTTTTTTTTTAATGACATATTTGCTGCTTTTAGAGTCTCAAAGACTTTGGATGATGAAGTCATGCTTGAAACAGATTATGGTCCTATAATAGTGCCTTAAATAGTTGTAAAATTCAAAATCATATCTGTAAGGGAAAAAACATAAAAATATAGAAATAATACCTGAAAATGGCTTTAACCCCATATGAAATCTTGACTCTTACATTTTCTATATTTCCGTTTAATTTTATGGACTTGTCAAGCTAACCCTGAGTAGAAATTTACCTAATAGATCCCAGAAACTGATCTTTCCTACAAACTTTGACAGCTCTTGGACATACCACTAATTAGTAGCAAAATAAGAAAATTAAAAACGATGTAGTGTTGAACTTTTTGCTAAATGTGTTCATGATACAGAAGTCCCCTTTATTCTCAGATTCCATTTATCTTCCTTTTAAGGGGCATAAAAGGAAAAATGTCCTTTACTTTATGAAGGATGGTGGTGGTATAAAGTCCTTATTTGTCTTTTATTTTAAATTCTTATTTGATTGCACAAATGTTAGCAACTCTAAATTAGTCCCAAAAGTAAGGAGAAAATACAACCCAGCATATATTTTTCCTGATTATGAAAGTAAAATTAGTATACCCACTTAATCTCACTGTCCTATATTCTTTATTTCTTCCATCATTGTTTTAAATATATTTTTTACTCTTTTCTGCTTATTTAAAAAAATTTTTGTTGATGATGAGAATTTTCTCATAATGTCATTGCAATTTACTGGGTTATGTTATACTGTACCGAATCATTAGAATGTCATCTTCCCCATGCCTTCTCTAACATTTGTTTTGCTCTTACCTTTCTCTCCCATTGCATACCTGGCTTTTTGTTATTCTTCTCCTCTCTTGGATTTTTTTCTTCTTTTTTTGTTATTCTACAGTCTTTTAAAACACGAGGGATTAAGCATAATTTCATTTTCAGAACCCTTATTTCAAAATCCTCTTTTCTGTTCAAGCAGTTAGTTCATGCAGCTTAGTTCATTACATTTAGTTTTCTGATTTATAGTGTGAAGTAGGATTTGCTTATAGAATAAGAGTACAGTGAGTACATATAAAGCTGTAAATATGGTGGGGAAATGGGCTTTTTAAAATGTGTCTAAAAGTATTTATGTTTGTATGTTCGTATGTATACATAACATGTAAGAATTTTTTAATTTTTTTTTTTTCTGCAGAGAATACATTTGAGGTAAAATTGTTTAAAAATAGCTCAGGCCTAGGATTCAGTTTTTCTCGAGAAGATAATCTTATACCTGAGCAAATGAATACCAGCATAGTAAGGGTTAAAAAGCTCTTCCCTGGACAGCCAGCAGCAGAAAGTGGAAAAATTGATGTGGGGGATGTTATCTTGAAAGTGAATGGAGCCTCTTTGAAAGGACTGTCTCAGCAGGTGAGCCCCAAGCATGTGGAGATAGATTGGCCTTTCTGAATGATCTGGCAATGGTGGTTTAACTACAGCTTCCCTTGTCATTTATGGTACCCCCAGGAAGTTATATCTGCTCTCAGAGGAACATCTCCAGAAGTATCCTTGCTTCTCTGCAGACCTCCACCTGGTGTGCTACCAGACATTGACCCTGCTCTTTTGGTAAGACCTGCAAAAAGTAATTTATGTTTTTGTAGAATACCAATTGAGTGATTAATTCAGCTGTAGTGATTTCATATAGCATGATCTCCGGGGTTTTATTCCAGTTACTTCGGCTAAGAGTATTATCTTGTATATGTCACTTAACTTCTGAGTGCATCCTATATTTGCAATATACAGTAATTCAATTCACTTTCTCTTCTTTCCCTTCCAATTCTAAAATTCTAGCTTCAAGGATTTTAGGAATTTGTTTTCTAAGCATAAATCGAAAAAGACATAAAATAATGGTTACAAAAACCTTTTTGTTTATTTCTTCATTGGACCAAACGGGGAAACATAATTTTCATTCTAAGTTAGATTAGATAAAAATGAGAATTATTTAAGATATTTTGCTTTTTTAAAACATATTTTAAAATATGTTTGTTTATTTTCCTTTTTTATGTCAAGGAATATCTAAAGGATCCAAAATCTATTTTGGAGTTAGTTATAAATTGCATACTGATAGATAAGACAGCCTTGGAAGAAAGACAACCTTTGTCCTATGTACTTAAAATAGTGTTCTGCCCTGGCTGGGTGGCTCAGTTGGTTGTTGTCTGTATACCAAAAAGATTATGGGTTCTATTCTAGTCAGGACACATACCTAGGTTGCAGTTTTAATCCCTGGTCAAGGTGCATACAGGAAGCAAGCAAACTATATTTCTCTCTCACACTGATGTTTCTCTCTCTCTTTCTCCCTTCCTCTCTCTCTAAAATTAATAAATATCCTCAAATGAGGATTTTAAAAAAGTAGTGTTCCATAAACAGTGAACATGACCCCTGGGAGAAAAGGCAGGAGAAACTTGTAACCTTTATATCAGAAATAAAAGTGTGAGAAGGCTATTAATAGGAAAGTAACATTTCTATAGGGCATGTTATAAATAGCATTTTAAGAGACTACATTAGAGAGAGAGAGAGAGAGAGAGAGAGAGAGAGAGAGAGAGAGAGAAACTACATTGATTTGGTTCAGCAGTTAGGAACTGGTGGAACTCTCTTGATGAGTATATAAATTGATACAATCTTTCTGGAAAGCAATCTGGAAATATTTAACAAGGCCTTTAAAAACATCCTATGTGCTGATTATAAAAAATTCTATTTTAATTATATAGAAAATTATAAGGAAGTAATTAGAAACTTGGGTGAAAATCTACATACAAAGAAGTTCCTCTAGATTTCTATTAATAGTGTAAAGCTAGAAACTAGCTCTCTATCTAATAAAAGGAGAATTCTGAAATAAATTAAAGGTATAGCCATCTGTAGGATTATTATACAGTTTTATATGGTTGTTTTCAAAGTATATTTAAGGACCTCAGAAAGTACTCATAAAAACCTAAATTTTGAAAGTAGGATACAAAGCAGAATATATACTATAACTCTAATTCTGATTTAAAATATAAGTCATAAAATATTAACAGTTATTTTTATATATGATTTTTTTCTCTAATGAGTATAATTACTTTATAAAAAATAATAGAATATTTTAATAGAAAGTGCTGTTGTTGAACGTGTTCATTTTCTATCAAGTGTTCTAAAATTACTATAAGTTGTCACATTCAGGTCTCTTTAAATGTGTCCATTACAGACCCCACTGCATTCTCCAGCACAAGTACTTCCAAACAACAGTAAAGAGCCCTCTCAGCCAGCATGTGTGGGGCCAGGCACCAGCTCAGATGAAAATGAAATGTCTGACAAAAGCAAGAAAGAGTGCTCATCCTCATCCAGGAAAGACAGTGACAGTGACAGCAGTGGGAGCGGAGAAGAAGACTTAGTGAAAGCTCCAGCAAAAATTCCAAATATGAGCTGGAGTTCAGCTTTTCAACAGACTCTAAGCAACATGCTGCCACTGGCACAAAATCAACACGAGGCAACCAAGAGTCAAGAAGATACCATTTGTACCATGTTTTACTATCCTCAGAAAATATCCAACAAACCAGGACTCGAGCACAGGTATTGCCAATATTGTAATGCTTATCACTCAACACAACTAACTGTTAGTAACAGGAGAGCAATCTCCATTTCTCTAAGAATGAAATGTGCCTGTAAGTGCATTTCACAGTGATTAAGTAGATGATGACTCTATTGGCTATCTAACTATTGTGGCTGACAGTTTTAGTTAGCAAACCTGTAAGCTCTCTAGCCATTCGACCTGAGCCTTACTGCTCTCTCAAGCATATTTACTAAAAATTGGGAAAGTTGTTTGTATTTCACCATCATTCCGATTATTTGACAGAAAGAGAAGAAACCTATTTAGACAGTGATGGGGTAGGAGAGTAGTGAGTAAAAATATAAAGGGAGTGGTATGGAGGAAGGGGTAGAGAGTTTGCATAAGGTAGGATATACAAGAGTACAGAAGATGGGAAGAGGAGAAATCATTGAAAACAGAGGCATATAAAGAGACATGTATGCCTCCAATAGTTATTCATACATTTTACTGTTTGGTTATGTCTTTGTATATATATCCAGGTTCAATCATATTCATTCAAGTATTTTTTTTCCTATTGTATCATCTAAAATAACCACAGAAATAAGACATTTATTTTCTTACTTCTTCTCTTTCTTAGTAAATTTAAACACATTAGCTTCAGCCTTAAATTAACAACCAGGAATCAAAAGTATATTTATTTAATCTGTCTTACTGATTTGTGCATTTTATAAAGAGCTTCAAAATAGAACATTGGTAATGTTAGCATATAACAGATGTGAGATAAATTCATAGTCCAGAGTCAGATAAAAAGTAGCTAGAATCTCAATCAAAAGCAGATATGAATATTAAAATTTTCTGTTTGCAGCACAAACTTACTATATTGACATTGAAATGTATTTGAAAAGAGTCTTGTTTCTTTGTCTCTGTAGTAATCCTCCTTCCCCTCTACCACTGGATGTGACTCCTGGACCACCCCAAACAGAATCTATTTCCACGAATTTAACAGATAAATATCATACACGTCACACCTCTGAACCAACCAGACAAGATAGCTTGACGTCTTTGAAGACTGATTTGGAAAACCACCTTGAAGACTTAGAGCTGGTGAGTTGTTTATGCTGTATTAAAATACCTTCATATTCATGTCCAGTAAATAGATAGCATAGTTGGTATGTCTCTCTGCTGAGTATTAGGGGGAAAAGCAAAAAAAAATTTAGGTGCAAATCCTGTTTCTGCCGCTGACTTACTGCCATTTGGCAGATGCCTGTGGAAAAATTACTTAATTCTTCTGAGTCTTCGTAGTTTTGGCCTTAAAATGGGGCTAGTAACCTCATGTGGTGAGGATTAAATGGGATAATATACATAGAGCATCTAATTCAGTATCTGCTATTTGCTAAATTCTAATGAATTATTTTTTAATCAAGACTGAATAAATTTTTTTCTCTGCCATACTTGTTTTGTGAGCAAATGGTTTCCTTTACATTGAACTAATAGCCCTAGAACTTCTAAGCCTACAAATTCAGTTTGGAAGCCAAATTTTCAATAATAATAATATCATTTACACTGATCTAAAGTTAGTCTTTTTCAAAACTGTTTTTATTATTCATGGGATAAATATTTGTTGTAGGAAAATTAGAAAACAAAGAAAAAGACGATTAACACTTTATTCCACCACCCAAAAACCATACACATTTTGGAGTTAATCTTTCCAAATATTTTGTTTGCCTATAATTGTGTGTGTGTGTGTGTGTGTGTGTGTGTGTGTGTGTGTGTAGTATCTATATCTTCAGTTTCATTCTCAGCAATAGAGTGAAACTAATCTTAGAATTATTTCCTAAGAAGTCTGTCATCACCCCTATAACCTGTAAGCAACCTTTGTGTCAGCTGAAATCTTAAAAAATATATATTTATGCAACTAAATCTATGAAGTTGTGATATGTAGTCACCCAAAGACTTCATATTAACAAAAAAAAAACAAAAAATACTAAGCCCTGGCTGGTGTGGCTAAATGGTTAGAGTATCAGCCTGCACACCGAAGGGTCATGGGATTGATTCCTGGTTAAGGGCGTATACCTGGGTTGCAGATTCGATCCCCAGCCACAGTTGGGGTATGTGCCGGAGGCAACCAATCGATATGTCTCTCTCACATCAGTCTCTCTCTCTCTCTCTCTCTCTCTCTCTCTCTCTCTCTCTCTCGTCTCTCTCCTCCTCCCTCTCTCCTTTCCACTCTTTCTGAAAAAGCGATGGGAAAAATATCCTCGGGTGAGGGTTAACCAAAAAAATTAATACAAAAACAAACAAACCTTTTTTGTGGCTCTTGACATCTATTTTGCTTATCTAGAAATATATAAAGAATTTTCTGAACCTACCCTTCAGAAAGTATTCTTTGATAATCAAGATATAGCCACTAATGTGTCCTTGTTTATCCTGAAAATACAAGAATTGAAGCACGAATAAATTTTGTCTCAGATAACCTCTAGACCAGTGGTTCTCAACCTTGGCTGCACATTAGAATCACCTGGGAATCTTTTTAAAATCCTGATTTCTGGGCCTCATCCTCCGGAAATTCTGTTTCTTTGTTATGGGGTGGGGCCACAACATTAGTAACAAAGAAACAGAATTTCTGGAGGATGAGGCCCAGAAATCAGGATTTTAAAAAGATTCCCAGGTGATTCTAATGTGCAGCCAAGGTTGAGAACCACTGCTCTAGACAAACATATAATGTATTTAAACCCAACTTTCACATTGGAGGGTATTCTATCTAGAGTTGGATAGGCCTGGCTTCTTCACTTGGACAAGATAAGTAACCTTTTAGGGATTGGTTTCCTCACTCTGTTATTCAATAGAAATAATAATCATCTTTCTGTTTGTGTGTAACGCAGAATAGACTTCCTAAAGGAATCACTGTTTTCTTCCCTTAGGAAGTAGAACTTGTCATTACCCTAATTAAATCGGAAAAAGGAAGCCTGGGCTTTACAGTAACCAAAGGCAATCAGAGTATTGGTTGTTATGTTCATGATGTCATTCAGGATCCAGCCAAAAGCGATGGAAGGCTAAAACCTGGGGACCGGCTCATAAAGGTAACATACTACATGGAATGAATTTTTGCAAATGTAGCCAGAGAGCAAGCAAGGGCTGGAGAGAAAGAATAAGAAGGTTGAGTTAATGTAACATTCTATTTCTCTGTTTGGTTTGTTTTCCTTCTCTACCTCTTAAAAGTAAAGGCCTTTATACAGTTAACAGTTTGAAAAATGCTTAAAGTTCTCTTTTTAATTTGGAAGTCCCTCTCAACTCAGTTAAAGCATTAAACAAATTATCTTGGGTTTCAAGGACAGAAAGGTTATTAAATTACTATAAAGATAAGTTTCCTATACCAGGAAAAAAATGATGCATTTGTTAAGTATCTTACATTATATTTTACTTATAATTACTTGATCATTGTGTTTATTATATTTTCACAGTACAGGCTATTACCAATAAATTAGAGACTATTCTTTTTTTTAATAGTTTATTGATTTTTATTTTTTTTAGAGAGAGAGAGGGAGGAATGGAGAGAGAGAGAGAGAGACCTTGATGTGAGAATGCAACATCAGTCAGCTGCCTCTTGCATGCCCCCTACCCAGGGTCAAGCCCAAAACCCTAACATGTGTCCTTGGCCAGGAATCAAACCTGCAGCCTCCTGGTACACAGGAAATGTCCAACCAACTGAGCCACACTGGTCAGGGCTAGGGACCCGTCTTTATTGTGAATCTCTTACTGGCTAATATATATTATATATAAAAAAGTTAGGGCACAATCTTCCACCTACTTCATCTGGTACACATAAGCTAAGTGCTAAAACTTGTGGCACACCAAAAAATATATTTTTTGAAAATCAGACAAAAAATAGGTATCAAAAATTTTTTGATTCATTCACACCAGACAGCTACTGTTGTGTTGGCTGTTGTCATTTTTTTTTTTTTTTTGCAATCTAACGGAAAAGAGGTCAGTGCCCCTGAATAGTCAGCTATTGCATGTTTTAAAAATTCTTGTGGCACACCAGTGTGCCGCAGTACACTGCTTGAAAATCGCTGAGTTAGGGGGGTTAATATATTTTCTTGGCAACTTCTCTGTTCCAAAAATTATAATCTTACTTTTTCCCCTTTCTCATTTGTGTAGGTTAATGATACAGATGTCACAAACATTACTCACACAGATGCAGTGAATCTGCTACGAGCTGCACCCAAGACAGTCAGATTAGTTCTTGGGAGAGTTCTAGAATTACCCAGGATGCCAGTGCCGCCTCATTTGCTACCTGACATTACATTAACGTGCAACAAAGAAGAATTGGGTAATGCAAATTCAAGCTTTATGCAGTGTGATTTTTCTTGGCTGGATTAAAAATAAATACTCTTAAGGCTAAGGAAACAAACGTGTTTTTTTTATTCCCTGAAGGTTTTTCCTTATCTGGAGGTCACAACAGCCTTCATCAAGTGGTATATATCAGTGATATCAATCCGAGGTCAGCTGCAGCGACGGAGGGTAATCTCCAGCTATTAGACATCATCCACTATGTGAATGGAGTCAGCACACAAGGCATGACCTTGGAAGCAGCTGAGAGAGCATTAGACATGTCACTTCCTTCACTGGTGTTAAAAGCAACAAGGTACTTACTCTGCAGTTATTGGTGGGTTCTGTCTGTGTCTGCGTACACATTTCCAGCTCTTGGTTTTATTTATGTTTTCTTAAAGATATATTCCTGAATTACTAATTCACAGACTAAACTGGCAGAACTTAATTAAGTTAAACAAACTTCCTGATGACAAGAGATTCTCAGAGCACTTGAAGCAGATTCGTGTTTGGATATACGTTTGCAATTATTAATAGGGTGGTTACTACATTTGTCAGTTAGGATGTTTTCAGTTGCAAGTAACAGAAAATACCACTCAACTGGTTTAAACAAGAAAGGGAATTTCCTGCCACTTATGGTTAAAAAGGTTATGTAGTTGCCAGGTAAAATTTGATTAGGCCTCTGGCTCCATTTCTTTGCTGTTTTTATTCTCTACTCTGTGCATGTTTCCTACACAAAAGTCGCATCTCTGTGTCAGGCTCACGCCTCGCACCTGCATACTACACCATCCAGAGCAGTCTTCAAAAGCCTCGCCAATCACCGTGGTAAAGCAAGGATTGTGTGCTGATTGTCTTAGATCTAAATTAAGGCCAGTCCCTGAATTGAAGCAAAGGGACAGGAACATATTGATTGGCTTAGGCCAGTCTTGGCCCACTCCCAGTGTCGGGACAGTCAAGCCTACACCTCATGTCTACAACCAGTGAGGCGTGGAATCACCACACCCACTCTACCTCACAACAATTCCACGTAATAAGAAATGCTATAGTAATTTTTGTTTCACTTAAAAATGAAATAAATTGAAAAATATATGTATTATTTCAAATTACTACAAATATAGTGGCTTAAAACAACAGAAGTTTATTGTCTTAACAGTTTTGGAGATCAGAAGTACAAAATGGGTCTCAGTGAGCTAAAAGCAAGGCAGAGCTGCATTCCTTCTCCAGGAGATAATTCATTTCCTTGCTGTTTCCACCTTCTAGAGCAGGGGTGGGCAACCTTTTTGTGAGTGCGTGCCAAAACCAGCAAAATCTCTGACTCAAAATTCTTCTGCGTGCCAACCCTAATTTTTTGAGAACATGTTACGCCTACTTGATATCTCTTAAGGTGTACGTATGTGAAGAACCTTGAAGAAATAATAAAATTCATTCGAGCGACAAAAACACAGTATATGATGATGAAAAATACATTTATTTTTTAATGTATACATGTACACTGATAGTCCGACAGAAAACTTTATGACTCCGTTTGATATTATCAGTGGGACTTCTGCTGCTGCATCACTGATGACAGAGATTTTACATCAGGTTTATATTTCATGACCTTCAGAGATATGCACGAGCTACTACTTTCATCCGTCAGGCTACTCCTATTACGAGACTTAACAAAATTCATCACTGAGAACAAAGATTCACAAGCGTATGTGGATGAAAACATCTTTAAGATAACTTGTTATGTAAAATTATTTATTTATCTAAGATGCACCTACACTGAATTTATCTGAAAAATAAAAAAGTCGATATTAAGAAAAAAATTGTAAATGGAAGATTGTAAGAGAGGGTTTCGTGTGCCAGCAAAAGTTACTGGCGTGCCATGTTTGGCATGCATGCCAGGGGTTGCCCACCCCTGTTCTAGAGATTGCTGGTATTCCTTGGTTCATAGCTTGCTTCTATATTCAAAGTCAGCATTCTGCTCTATCACCACATCTCTTCTCTGATTATCTGCCTCACTCTTTCATCTATAAGGACCGCTGTGATTACATCAAGCCCTGCCAGATAATCCAAAATAATCTCCTCATCTCTAGAACCTTACCTTACTCACATCTGAAAACCTCTTTTGCCTTGTAAGGTTCCATACTCACAGGTTGAGGATTACAATGTACACACTGGGCGGGGGTGAGGGGGCATTATTCTGCCACCCACAATGTACATGATCCAGGCCTTCTAGACTACAGGCTTCTATTATATAAAGGGAAATGTCCCATTTTTATCTTGATACATGATGAGTTTTACAGAGTGTGTCTCCCAAAATATAGGAACTATTAATTAAATCATTTGATAGTAAACTTATTTGTTCCTTCTAAACCTTTTAGTCAGAATGTGTACTTTTTCCCTTGAATGTAATTCTTGACTGTTTTCTCTCATATATTTTAAAAATTAGATTGGGCATGGAGTTATTTTCATAGATGTAGCTGAATGTTAATTGGTGGGGAAGGAAAGTGTTCAAACAACCTGAAAAATATTTTTGTGAAAATTAACATCTCTGTAAACCAGAGATTTAGCTGGCATACATTTATTTATTTATTTATTTATTTATTTATTTATTTATTGCCTCAAAATCAGTAGAGCACCCTTTACTCTGGCTCTGAAATTGCTTTTCTTTTTTCTTTCTACTTCTATCTTTTCTGGAGTCACTAAAGATATAATAGTGGTAGTCCCAATTGCTTTCCCCTTTGTTCTTCCAGCTCTCTCTCCACTGTTGATATATCTGCTGTCCTTATCGACAGGAGAGCAATAATGGAGGGGTTTTTATTTATGTTAATTATCTCTATGTCAAGAATGGTAAGGGTCTGTGATTTTACCCTACTTGCAAGCTAATAAGTTAGCCAGTTGTTGTTTCTTGCATGCTGGTAGGAGATATGAAACTCGTGCATCAGAGACAAAATACTTATTGAAAATGGTATTGGTGTCAATTCCACACGTCTCTGAGGCCCACAGAGATGACATATGTGGGCCTATTGGATTCCTGCACTTGCAGTGGGTTGTATTCCAGGAGAGGAACACTTTAAGAAGAGCCCAGGAACCTGCCCCTTTATGGTGGCTGCTAGAAAGCCTGCTTTTTATTTGGGAAAAGAAGTTATGTCATCCCTCAAGCTTGCTCACCACAAACATAGCCTTGAGAATTGTTCCAGATAAAAAGTGGCCTCGGCCTTGCATTTCTGGGTCACCCAGAAATAATATGCAGGAATGCATAGGGCCCATGGCAAATTGCCTCTCTCAACATTGTATACCTTAGGCAGCCTCCCTTTTTTCTCAAGTATTAACAGTAGTAACACTGCATGCTAACCCTGTTTCCAAGATGCTGTCTTTTTTACTGTTTTTCTTTTCGCCTCCCTTTTTTCTCAAGTATTAACAGTAGTAACACTACATGCTAACCCTCTGTTTCCAAGATGCTGTCCTTTTTTACTGTTTTTCTTTTCTTTTTTTAATATATGTTTTTATTGATTTCAAAGAGGAAGGAAGAGGGAGAGAGATAGAAACATCAATGATGAGAGAGATTCACTGACTGACCGCCTCCTGCACACCCCCTACTGGGGATCAAGACCGCAACCTGGGCCTGTGCCCTTAACTGGAATCAAACCCGAACCCTTTAGTCCTCAGGCCAATGGTCTATCCACTGAGCCAACTGGCTAGGGCTTTTTTACTGTTTTTCATATTGGGTGGTATTATTCTTCTCATGGTCCTTTGAATATATATTATATTGTCTAGATTTTCACTTTAAATAACTTAAAAGTAAAACACATATCAAGGGCTTTAGGGTCATAAAACAGTGATCTATGATTTCTAAGTTATCTTTGAACTATTACTTGAGTAACAGAGAACCAAGTTATTAGATCATGAAATTTTACCAGTGTTTGATATGAGAGGGGGAATAATGTGATATGTTGAACTGAAACCCAAAGAGAGATTATATAAAGAAGTGATTCTTAATCTTTTTTTGGTCAAGAATATTTCCCTTCAGAAAATACATAGATAAAGACTGATGAAATTTTGTCTTTAGTTTTAGGGGTTGCCTAGACCCCTTAAAGCCCATCCAAAATAAAACTTCTTAGTCTAACTAAGAGATGGTTGAAAGGATATTTAAACAAACTTCTTGAGTAATTTGCAATTGTCTTTTCATTTTTTTATAACACAGAGATGGTCAGCCAGTGATCCCAAGTTCCAAGAAGTCTGCCATTTCAACTCCAAAGTCAGCCAAAGCCAATGGTAAGGATACATTCACTTATAACACAAATAGTGATGGAGACGTACTGTTTTTTCCAGAAGCAGGTACCGACACTATCACTAAAATGCTCTTATTGCCTTTGCAGGGTGTTTTGCAGGAGCTCTAGCTACCTTGCAAGATTATAATGAGGCATTAATACAATAATGTATGTGAAATATCACGTTAATTGTCATATAATAGTTTATTCGGACATTTACTTAATTTCTTATCTGTTCTGGGCACTGTTCTGGGCATTGTGAATATGGCAATGAGTAAGCAAAATATATGTCTTACATTTTAGCATCATAATATAAATTTTAGAATTCGTAATTGTGGCAGCAGTTAACATTGATTTGATGCTTGTTCTGCACTAAGTATTCTTCTAAGTTCTTTAGTCTCCGCAACAGCAGCCCTATCACACTAGTGTTATTATTATCCTCCTTTTATAGAGGGAAACTGAGGCACAGAGAAGTGTGATAATTTGCCCAAACTCATAGAGTTAATATCCAGTAGAGCTAGAATTTAAACCTAGGATGTCTGACTCCATGCTCTCACTTACATAATTGGGGTCAGCAAATGTAGCTATTAATGCTAGTATTAATGTAATAATAAGAATGTTAGGCACAAGGAAATGTTGAAAATTAGTGCATATGAAGTATTACATAATCTCACTCATATGTGGAATCTAAATAACAAAATAAACTGATAAACAGAATGGATCCAGAGACATGGAAGCATGGAACAGAGTGCGGAATCTCAGAGGGAAAATTGAGTTCAGAGAGGAAGGGAGAGGGAGAGAAAGAGAGAAACATCAGTGATGAGAGAGAATCATTGATCGGCTGCCTCCTGCACACCCCACACTGGGAATCGAGCCCACAACCCATGCATGTGCGCTGACCGGGAATTGAATCGTGACCTGGTTCATGGGTTGACACTCAGCCACTGAGCCACGCCGACCAGGCTGAATGGAACTTTTATGCAAACTATTTTCTTTTAAGCTACTGGCTTTTTCCTTTGGGTAAATCCTTCTCAAACATTTGATTCCATCTAGTTGGTTTTAAATCGTTTTATGACATGACCTCTTTTAATGTACTAATAAAAATAAGATCATGTTCAGACACGTGGGTTTTCTTTCATCATTTTGGTGTCCCTGTTGTGGTCCTGACTGGCTCATCCCTTACTCTTTATGTTGTCCCTTTGAGGTCATCACACTGTGGAGCCTTGCAGCAAGCCTGCCCTCACTCCTAAGGACTCATTCTCCAAGGTAAGTAAGAGGCCACCTTCTTCATGCCCTATTTCCTTATCTAAATAACCAGCTTGTTTGTATCTTGAACCACACTGATTTCACGTTTAAATATGTGCCTTTTTCTGAAACATATATTGATAATAGGAATATATTTCAGTGAACTAATAGGCCTTGCTAAGTAAAGCTCACATAGTCAAGCCCCCACACAAGTAACCCTACTATATTTGGCACACACTCGGCTTCTAAATAAGATAATTACTTAAGTAGATAGCTTTCGTGCCGGGATGTTTTATGAATGTGCACAGTTCCTTTGGTTGTCTTAGGTACCCAGAAGAGAAGAATTAAGAGTGAAATTGGTCCTCTGGGTTAATGTTGACCAGCAGTGACTTTCAAGTGGCAATTCTCTGTTGCTACTAAGGAAAAAACATTAATGGCAAAAGCAAGTGGCTACTTGCTTCTTAAAAGACATAGAAAATGCTTTACCAATATAAAATGAAAGAGCCTAAATCATTTAAGATTAGCACAGAGAAACCTGGTGGTGATTTAACAAAATTATTTTATCATATAACTAAATTCTACTTCAGCCTCTCTCTTAGAGGCTACATATATGCCTATTTGTTTGGCTATCGTTTTGCTTAATGATTCTCTTTTGGCATGTAATGTACATTCTAAAATAACCACAGCTGGCCGTGGCCCATGTGCTCAGTTGGTTGGAGTGTTGTCCCGTGCATTGAAAGGTCGTGGGTTCAATTCCTGGTTAGGGCAAATACCCAGGTTTCAGGTTTGATCCCCATTCTGAGTGCATATGGGAGGCAACCAATCAATATTTCTCTGACACATCAATGTTTCTCTCTCTCTCTCTCTCTCTCTCTCTCTCTCTCCTTTCCTCTCTCTAAAATCAATAGAAAACATATCCTCAGGTGAGGATTAAAAAAATAAAATAATCACAGCTGGATCTTCATTTTGTGAGATTGTTTAATCCCACACACATTCTATACAATGTATTCTGAACCTCACTGTTTGAATGTCTTTCCATGTACAATCCAGAGCTTGGGGCATTGCTCTCCTCGTAATCTGAAAATCTTTTCATCTCCACAAAATTTCTGGACATGAACTAGATTGAGTGGAGGAGGAGAAAATTAATTTAGTGGCCAGAAGCCCAAAATTCTGTGCCTTTCATCTCACTATTTCATCTCAAACTTGCAACATGGTTCAGGAAGGCCTGAAAAGATATTGTGCAGAAGAATAATTAGGCAGAAATGATTGGAACACATAAACATTTCTGGTATTTGTATGTTTGTGGATTGGATACAGCAACATTCAGTTCTTTGTTTAGCCACAATGACTTCAATTTCATGTAGCTGAAGCAACTGAATTTTAACATGTTCTGAGTGTTAGTCATGCTGTATAGTGCTTATTTTCCTTTTAAATATCGGCATGTTGTTGAAAGGGAGAAGGGTAGAATATCTGTTTATATTAACATAAAACCCTAGAAACTACAAGTTTTGTTATTCATAGCTGCAAACACTTTTTGTTGTAGTTAAAATCTTCGAGAAAGTTGCTCAAACAATATTCTGTCATTGAATACAAATGTCCATACTATGAATTTCTCATAAAGATTGGAGTTTCACAATTCTGTGAAACTATTTGGCATCATGTAACTACTATTTATGAAGAAATAACTATATTGCACCTATCATCTCTACTTTTTTCTTAATAAAAAGAGTAAGATCTTCAGAACAAACACCTTTATTTGCATAAAATTATTTAATTTATTCTAATTATTCAATTATGCACTTTTGCCAAATAATTTTTTCTTTTTCTTTTTTAATATATTTTTATTGATTTCAGAGAGGAAGGGAGAGGGAGAGATAGAAACATCAATGCTGAGAGAGAATCATTGATTGCTGCCTTCTGCACGCCCGCTACTGGGGATCGAGCCTGCAACCAGGCATGTGCCCTGACCAGGAATCAAACCAGGGACCCTTCAGTCCGGAGGCTGATGCTCTATCCACTGAGCCAAACCAACTAAGGCACCAAATCATTTTTTCAATAGGCTTTCTGAAACCATGAAATGTTTCACAAATTACATTGAATTAGAAAGTTATATCTTATAAATAATTACTTTATACTTATGAGCCCATTGTTATTTTTCTTAAATTGAGATGAGATTTAGACTAGATTTGAAAATCTTTATGCCTAACAATTGATCAGGTCACTAAACTGAAATTTATGTCAATGTAACAGTTTCACAAGTACTTAAAGGGTTGATTTTCCTCCCTTCCCCTCAACTTCTAAGTTTAGTAACCATATTGAACTTTTCTAAAAAGTTCTATGAAAGATAAGTCCTATAAAATATGCCTCAAAAAAGAGATTTCTGCAGTCAAATAAGTTTAGGAAGTACTGCATAAAAATTTCTCTTTTGGCAACCCAGAATTTATATTAGTAAGCATTGTGAGAATTCTTAGAGTAAAAATATTGATTTAATGTTTAATCTAGGATTTCCAGACACATTTGATGATGGAAAGTTCCATTTCCATTGCACATTTTATAGCACTAGTACTTCCTAAAAATACATCTAAGGTGGGAAGAGATAAAATGGATTTTGTACTAAGAAAGGGGGGAGAAGGACATTGAGGAGCAATGTACAGTTCCTCCCTAACCATGGAAGTTAATAAAATCATAAACTAATGATTTGCTTTGGTTTTATGCTTTAGATTAATGGGGAAGAAGTTTTGCACCCTGAAGGAAAATGCTCTACTTATCAGATGAAGGGATCAGCAAATTTGATTCTGTCCAAAGGTAGTTTTCCAAATCAGTCATCCAGTTTCTCTAAATGCTCTAATAATTCAGGTAATAAAGAAATATTAGGTATCCTCTCTTATTTGCCTTACATGTCCCTATAGTTTGTTTTATATTTTTTATAGTTGGTTTTAAAAGGACCATTTGTTGCTCAAAGAAATAAAAGAACAATATAATAGTAATTGTTGTTAACTGCATTACTGTACCAATGTCCAGGATTCATTCTCATATCTAAGATTAAAACGATTTTTAAATGATTGAAAAGATAGCTGTTTTGTTTGATAGTGTTTCTCACATTCTTTGAAGAAACAATTTACAGGCTACTTAGTAATTTAGAAATTTTTTTTCTTGGAGATGTTTGGGCTGCTCTATCATATCCTTAATCTTTGTAACATAATTTCTTGAGTTTCTTTCATGAATTAATAATTTGGGATTAATTTACAAAATAAGCATTAAATTATTAATGTCTCATAAAAAGGTGTATCACAGTCACTAATACTGTTTTATTCTTTGTTGGGTGCATTTGTGTGGTCTTTTGTCAGAGCAGCCAGAGTAGTTCTAGAACTAAAAGTGATTAGCCCCCTATTAGTGTCAACTACTTATCTGTTCATGGCTACTTTTCAAAGTGGATGCTTAAAATTGGAAAGACCTGCCTTAATCTATTTGAAACATTGTCTTTTTCTTATATCAATATTTTAAAAGTAAAACCCCATGTAAATTGCTGTTTTTCAAGAATCTGATGTACAGGAAGATGATATTTATGACGACCCTCAAGAAGCTGAAGTTATCCAGTCTCTGCTGGATGTTGTGGATGAGGAAGCCCAGAATCTTTTAAACCAAACTAATGCGGCAGCAGGTGCCTGTGTTCCAGGTAGATGGGCCCGAAGGAATCAGTTGGTACACTAAGGAGTGCGAGAAGGTCTCTGGGAGCGTTGTAACTCCTCTTGGCTTCTTTATTTCTCTTGCAGGTGCATTGAAAACGAATGGAAAGTTATCTGAAGAGAGAGCAGAAGATACAGACTGTGACGGATCACCTTTACCTGAAGATTTTACAGAGGTAAGGATACTACCTAGAGAAACACTGTAGGGTATTCCATCTTGTTAGAATTCTATATCTCCTTACTTTAAAACTTGCTTTCTCTGCTGATGCCTTACTTCTCTCCATCTCCCAATTTCCCTTTTAGACATGAGATAAAGACAATATCCTGTTGGCTGCTTAGTGATCTCATTAAGAATGAGAACTAATGTCATGTACTCATTTTGGAGAGAGAATTTACCTTTAAATCTTTTAATTTCCTTTGGTGAAATTTTCTTTTTTAAAAAAAAAGGTGCCACAAACACACACACACACACACACACACACACACACACACACACACAAATGATAATTTTTATGTTATTATTTTTACGTGCCACACAAACACACACACACACACACACACACACACAAATGATAATTTTTATGTTATTATTTTTACACCAAATAAAAGTTGAGGCCCTGGCCAGGTAGGTAGCTCAGTTGGTTAAGATTCATCCCAATGCACCAAGGTTGCTCAGTCAGGGCACATACAAGAATCAACCAATGGCCCTAGTCAGTTTGGCACAGTGGATAGAACGTCAGCCTGCGGACTGAAGGGTCCCAGGTTTGATTCTGATCAAGGGTACATGCCCGGGTTGTGGGCTCGATCCCCAGTCAGGGTTGTGCAGGAGGCAGCCAATCAATGATTCTCTCTCATCATTGATGTTTCTGTCTCTCTCACTCACTCTCCCTTCCTCTCTGAAATCAATAAAAATAAAAAAATAAAAGAATCAACCAATGAATGCAAAATAAATGGAACAACAAATCTCTCTCTCTCTCTCTCTTTTTCTCTCTTTAAAAAAAAAACAAAACAAAATGTTGAGAAATCCAAGATCTCATTCCAGTTAATACCTCACCTAGGTAAAAAACTTGGCTTTTATCTTTGAATGCTCCCTTCTGCCCCTCATGGATTCTTGGTTTTTTAATTAGCACAGAAACATCTAATTCTTCCAGTTATTCCATGGCTTTTGCTATGATTACTTTGAGATTTCAATTGAGACTTGTTTAAAAAGATTTAGACACCTAACTGGTTCATAATATATTGAAATAATTGGATCCAAACTGGTAAAAATAAGCTGTATAAGAATTAGTGCTCGGTATCTATCTGTAATAATAAAAGCATAATATGCTAATTAGACCAGACAGCCGAACGACCTTCCAGACAACCTTCTGGACGAAGCCAGGACTGTGAGGGCTGAGGCAGCCGCCGCAGCTGTGAGGGCCGAGCCCCTTGCACGAATATCATGCATCGGGCCTCTAGTATATTATAAAATGTTGTTGAATTTTAAAAAAAAGAAGTTGACATCATCTGAGATTATTTGCCTATTTTACTGAAACATTACATTTAGGGTGAAAATGGAGGTTAATTTTATTTGTTACACTTAAGCATCATCCTACCCTAGTGAAAGAATCATTTCACAGGTTTCCTCAAATCAAAAAAAGAGAGGAAGAGAGAGAGAGAAGTGATTTTGTTAAATATAAATTATAACATAGTTCTAAATTTGGTTTTCACTTGATAATTATTATCTTCTTTCCACTAATAAAAGAGTAATTAATAACTGCACACCTCTGACTGGGGATCGAGCCTACAACCCGGGCATGTATCCTTGATCAGAATCAAACCTGGGACCCTTCAGTCCGCAGGCTGACGTTCTATACTAATAAAAGGGTAATATGCTAATTAGACTGGATAGACTGGACGTCTTCTGGACATCCCTCCTGACAAAGCCAGGGGCGTGGCCAGCCTGCAAACCACCTGCAAACTGCCCGAAATCCCTTGCCCAGGCCGGCCCCACCCCCCAGCAGGGACCCCCACCCTGATCAGGGGTGGGTTTGGCCTGCAAACCCCACGGCCCCTCACTCCAGGCAACCCCACCCCCCAGGGGGGCCCCCACCCCAATCCGGGGCCCCCTTCAGGGCAGGCCAGTCGGCCCCCACCCGTGCACCAGGCCTCTATCCTATATAATAAAAGGGTAATATTCAAATTGACCCTAACATTAGAACAACCACTGGGCCAGTCCCTATGATGTGCACTGACCATATCTTGGTCCCTTTCCTCAGCTGGCAGGCTCCGATCACCTGATAGCCACCCGCAGTGCGGGCGAGGCTGATGAGCGGGCGGGAACAGCTGACCTCTCAGTCCCTTCCCCCAGCCGTCAGGCACCCATCACCTGATGGTGAATAAGGAACTGGGTATGGGTGGCAGGTCTGGCTGCGGGCAGCTGGGGAAGATGACCCTGATCATAGGCCAGGTCTAGGGACCGTACCCACGCATGAATTTCATGCGCTGGGCCTCTAGTTAGTATATAAAAACCTGTCTCATAATTTCTAATGTTTTTCCAGTATTCTACTGCATAGAAATACCGTAATGAATTTTAAATTCTATATTTATTATAAACAAGCAACAAAG